CGCGACTTGGACAGTCGGACGCCCAGGACCGAGGTGCGGAACTCCAGCGTAATTACTGCTTTCTGTCTTGCGTCATCCCAAATGACCAACTGCGACCGCTGTGTGAGCATAAGCTGGGCAAGATAGATAGGAGTCTGCGCACCTTATTCTGAGGGAACTTTGGCTGTCTCCCTCCGCCAACGATAGCTAGGTAGTTCGTCTGGCCAAGCATCTTGACTACCCCGATGCCGGCATTGAAATCTAGATGGAGCGAACGGCATTAGTGATACGGAGCTGAAGGATGGTGGGGTTGAAGCTATCATGTATACCTCTTGATACTCTGAGCTCACATGGGTCGGTATTGAAGACTGCATCGAGATCATATTGTTCTTAGCTTGGATATCCCGGAAGGAAATCTATTGCAGGAAGGGCATGGTTAGGACCTACCACAGAAGCCGGTGTCCAACCCAACTGCGAAGCAGGAGGTATCATTATTGAATGTAGCAGAGAGTGAGAGTGGCCCCACAGACTCATCGATAACTTGTCGGGTGTTCATTCTGGCCACCAGGGAAAGAGGCCATCAGAGCTATGGATGGTAGAAAGGTAGACAGGAAACTAGAAGATCGACAGCGGTCGCTGACCTCACCCGAGCATCAGTAACGTAGATAAGGCCCGGGGGTCCGCTTTTGGCTGGGGGGATGCCGGAAGGGCAGCGGATGCCGGGCCAATAGACTGTCTGCGCAGCGTGGTGATGTTGTTCAACGGAGATCAATGCACATCATCTTACACCCAAACAGAAGGCGACGAAGAACTTCTTGATATACTTCGGCGAAGATGATCGAGAATAAAGAAAAAGAAAAGAAAAACATGTAGTGACAAGGGCGTGATTCGAACCCGCGCGGTTAGTCTACCGTTTTGCGGTTAGGAATATTCCGTAAGTCAATACTAATGTCTCGGAGCCATTGTTTCAGGCCTGAGGCCTAAAATTCCAAGCTTGTATGGTATTTGGGTAATTGCTTACCGCTACGGCGGCCCGCAGCGACCCACGGCGGCGGTGGAAACGCCTTCTGCTGCCCCCGACCCCTGAGAAGAACTGGGGAGAGCACAGAGGCTAGTAGCCAGACATTGCAGCAACAACCACTTATGCTTTCATTTAGTTGACTGGTCGCGCTGTACCTCAGAGAACAGGTTAGCGGATAATATATGAGTTGGACTAAAGGAACAAATTCCCTATCGAGTCATAGCACTGGCCGCCGAGTGGAGACCTGAAGTGTGTTCTCTCTCAGTGAAAAGACAATAATTGATGATCAAGGCGTCCCCAGATTGGACAGGTATTATAATGAGTGTTGAAAGAGTACGTAGGTAGGGAGATACCCAAAGACAAGGTCTGGGCATACTAGATGGGATTCATACTGTGTACATTGAAATCGGCAGCTATCTACCTAAGCAATTGAACAAAGCGTTCGTAAGCATGTACCTTAAGTTGCTTAGTAGGGGGATAACTACTAGACTCCATTTACTCCATACAGGAACCGTGCCTGGGAGCCCGCTATCCATGGGAGAGTAACTGAATTGTTTAGAAAAGTGGGAGTGGTACGACCAGTAAGGTATCGATGTATCATCGGTTACATGAGATACCAATATTACCAGCGACCGATCAATCTGGAGAAAGAAAGAGGGCGATGATTGGACCGTTGGGGACTGCAGGGTGAAAGGGGGCAGTTGTGACCGTTCCAGAGCGGTAAGAAATTGTTACGAACAGGAAAACGGGAGGGAGGAAATCCCCCCCTTAGAGAGAGTCTAACAAATCCCCTAACTGCCAGATCAGTAGCAAGCGCCAGCCAAACGGCTCTTTAGTCCCTCCAGCTTGCCCAGAGAGAGTCCGCCCGTCGTCGAACCTCAGGGGAGCAACGCAGCCATTCCACATCCCATCCCATCCACTCCTCCATCTAATTCATTCAACCTTCATTCCACCTCTCTTGTTTTCCCCCCCCATTCCTTTCCTTTGGCTCAAACCACCTTCGTCCTTGTCTCTGCCACTCGCTTTCTCCCTCTATTTTCTTCAATCTCTTCTTCTCTCTTCTTTAATTTCCTCCATTCCTCCCCTTTTAATTCACCATGTCGTTCAACGCGGTATGTTACTTCCTTCCCCTTTCTGGCCTTGTTGCTCTGAAGCCTATCCATGCTCCTTCCCCCTCCCACTCAACCCACCCCGTCCATTGTCCCTGGAACCGTCGTTTTCTTTTCATTATCTGTCTTCAGGCTCTCGGCCAGAGATTTGTCCACGATTAATTTCTTGCTCTAATTCCCAGATGAAGCTCCGTCGCAAGAAGAATGTCAAGAAGGGTATCCAGTTCTGTCTGATGGTCTGTGGTGCCAGCGGAACCGGTATGTGCTGCATCATACAAACCAGCTTCGATTGCAGAATTGACCGAATTCCCCCCTTTCGATAGGACGTACCACCTTCGTCAACACTCTTTGTGGAAAGAAGGTCCTAGAAGGCAAGGACTGCGACGACCCGGCCAACGCTCACATTGAGGAGGGTGTCCGCATCAAGCCAGTCACAGTTGGTAAGTCACCGCCATCTGGACCACCAGCATACACGCCACTAATGAGATCTCGAAAAAGAGTTGGAATTGGACGACGAAGGCACCCGCATCTCCCTCACCATCGTTGATACCCCCGGTTTCGGAGACCAGATTGACAACGAAGCAAGGCACGTTGAACTTGGCCGTCTTCTCAACACCCCCTACGAATACTGACCGTCCCAACAGCTTCGGCGAAATCGTTGGATACCTTGAGCGCCAATACGATGACATTCTTGCGGAGGAATCACGAATCAAGCGTAACCCCCGCTTCAGGGACAACCGTGTTCACGTCCTGCTCTACTTCATCACACCGACCGGCCATGGACTGCGTGAGCTGGACATCGAATTGATGAAGCGCCTTTCCCCCCGTGTCAACGTCATCCCCGTCATCGGCAAGGCCGACTCTCTCACCCCTGCCGAATTGGCCGAATCCAAGAAGCTTATCATGGAGGATATCGAGCACTACCGCATTCCCGTGTACAACTTCCCTTACGATATCGAGGAGGACGACGAGGACACCGTGGAGGAGAATGCTGAGCTTCGTGGTCTGATGCCGTTTGCCATTGTTGGCTCTGAGGACTTCGTTGAGATTGACGGCAAGAAGGTGCGGGCCAGGCAATATCCTTGGGGTGTCGTGGACGTTGAGAACCCCCGTCACTCGGACTTCTTGGCCATCCGCAGCGCTCTTCTTCACAGCCATCTCGCAGACCTTAAGGAAATTACCCACGATTTCCTCTACGAAAACTACCGTACTGAGAAGCTCAGCAAGAGTGTGGATGGTGCTACGCCGTACGTATACCCGCTTGCCATTGTCATGGTCCGCTAGAACGAAAACTAATGCATAGCCACAGTACACAAGACTCTTCGATGAACCCAGAAGACCTAGCATCCCAGTCCGTTAGACTGAAGGAGGAGCAGCTTCGTCGCGAGGAGGAGAAGCTCCGCGAGATCGAACTCAAGGTGCAGCGCGAGATCGCTGAGAAGCGCCAGGAACTGTTGGCTCGTGAGAGTCAGCTGAGGGAGATCGAGGCTCGCATGGCGCGTGAAGCAAGCCAGAGTCAGATTGATAGCATCAGCGATGCTTGAGCTCTTCCTGAACCTGTTCCCCGGAGGGAGACGGATCTTGCATGTTGACCCCGGACGCCGTTTGTGCCTATGTAATGAGATTCGTGGCACGGCAGTTGTGACTGTCGACGGGGGAAAGATTAGTCGACCGTTTATTCACGTTAATAGCTTCTTATCCGAGAGGAGAGGGGAAAATGCAACGTTCCGTTTATCTTGACGACTGGCAGCATTCCCCTTTGTTCACTCAGAGGGTTGCGGACAAGAGGTGATGGAATCCTGCTGCTGCTCTGCTCTTTCCCTCTCCCAAATTTTGGCTTCTTCCCATGTCTTCTTTAATCTGGTCGAAAGATCTCCGAACTGTTTCGCGCTGCCCATGTTGCGAAGCTTGGGGTCAGAGATAGCATCTTTTTAATTTGCTGACAGTTGTCGCTGAACCTGCATAACCTCCTTCTCATTGCCCATCCCTTTTTTTATTTTTTTCCCATTTCTGCTTTTGTCGATGAAACCTGTCCCAATCTCAAGCAGCGCAGCAAGATTCCCTCTTTTGTCGTTTCATATTCCTTGTGCTCGTGGTTCATGTCTTAATCTTATCATCATATGTCTTAGTTGAATAGTAGTATATGAGGACAAAAGACCCGAAGTTTTCCCTGGTATGTAAGTTCTGATGGCATGGTGAGTAAATGTTCTATTCCCCATCGTGTCTACGCAGGACTAGGAACATTGCACGTAGAGTCATTACTACAAGAAGTAAGACACAACACATTGCCGTTCAGACCAGCATCAGATTCCAGTCTTGACCCTTCATTTCTTGGGACCCAGCATAATGAGTTGCATAACTTCATTATGATATTATTAGATAAGCATCAGATGTCTCTTCTGACCGTGTAAGCCATGAAACCTAGAGCGTGTTTGCCATCTATATGATAAGTGGTGAGGATTTGGCTTAGTATTCGACGACTCTGAGCCTTTTTTTACTGATCGTTAGAGCTCTATCTCTTTAGGAGTATGCTGAGAGATACTGATAATAACCCAGTCGTTGAACTGCTACAATATATATCTAGCAACAAGACCCACTTCAATGCAGTCAATCATGGATGGTCATGACATGTACTCACTATACTACTGATCTATAGTACTTAGTCCTTAGTATATCATCTATCCTCCCATACTGGCCTTGTCCGAGTTAGCTGTAACTGGCTTGAATAGATGCTGGCAGAAAATAATTCCGCCTATAACATCGACAGACAGAGGGTGTATATTGTTTCTATTTTTATTTCAGAAAAAGCAATTCCCAGTCCTTTCCTCGCTCTCTATTCCGTATAGTCTAATTGTGCGTGGCAGTTATACGCCAAACTCCATGGGAACGATCCGGACTTGGTTGCGGTATACTCGGTATAGAGACATCAAACGGGGAGAGATAAGAACCGAAATTACGGTCTATAATTCCACTATCCATCTCTCCATCTGTCTAAGAGGAGTGAGAAGAATCTCATGAGATTAGTAATGTTGTTAGCATTGATCGGCCTCAGTGTACCCCGCCATTCAGCCGCACCAACTCAGCGCCATGCACCTTCCACTTGTGAGTTAGCACCCTTGTAGCTAATGGCCAAAGAAAAGCCCACCCCCCTCCGAATTCATCTCCATTCTCTTACGCTACTACACTGGTCAAGGCGTTGGGACATATCTCTCCGTCTGCGCTTCAGACAGACGCGATATATAGTTTCTGGTCTCCTGGCCAGCTTGTCGAACTTGAGGTTCATACGATCTTCACTGAACATCGCATGTGAGACTTGAATCGCACCATGTCTCCAGAACTGGCACGCAACCCTGTTCTGACAGGACCTGCCTTTACCTACACAGAGCTCCCGCGAGAGTCTCCACATCCCACTACTCGCATGATACGCCTTCTGCCGAATAAAGATAAAGCTGCCCAAATAGAATGCGAGATCTTCAACTATGAGTTCATATTAGATACGAGCGGTGGGGATTCACACATATACGAGGCGCTTTCATATGTATGGGGAAGTGGCACGAGCTCCCGAACGATTATACTGAACGGCTGCCGATTCCCTGTGACTGAGAATCTCTATGTTGCTCTGTCCTACCTCCGAAACCGGCAGCTTGAAAGAATAGTGTGGGTTGATGCTATATGCATTAATCAGAGTAACCGGGATGAAAAAGCCCAGCAGATCCCATTGATGAGGGAAATTTATGCACAAGCTCAACATGTCATTGTTTGGCTTGGTGAGGCTTATGACGATGGCGATAGAGCCCTTGAAGGACTCCGGTGCCTGGTGGAAGGACAGGATATAGATATTGAGGGGTGTGGAAAGTTATGCGTGAATCTGTTCCAAAGAGCTTGGTTTCGCCGTATCTGGGTAAGATATTACTCTGTATATTTTCCATCGTCAGAGGAGTGTCAACTAACAACAATAGTAGGTTCTTCAAGAGGTTGGCGTCGCACGATTCATTTATATCATGTGTGGCTCAGTTCAGATAAACGGACATATCTTATGCGAAGGCCTCAATAAACTTAGTCTTCCTCCAAAAGATCAAGACATGATAGGCCCAGTCGTTTTTCTTATTAAGGGGGCGCTTTTCCGGCCAAGATATGAGCCCATGTCACGAGGAACTCTTACTATTGGGGAGCTTGTGGGCATGTACTGCTTCCACGATGCTACCGAGCAGCATGATAAAGTTTACGCACTTCTAGGCTTAAGTGCTGACCCGATGACACCCGCTCTGACGCCAAACTATGACTTCCCCTGGAACAAAGTGTTCAAGCAAGTTACCAATCACATTTTCCCAAAATGCTCTGTGGAAACGTGGCCTGAATCAGATATAGCCATCATTAGAGGCATGGGCTGGGCGCTAGGCCATATTTGCTCTGTACGACACGTATCAGACTTCGGCCAGCAAAAAGTGAAAATGTACTTGAATGACACTGCCCAATTAGTTGGTTATCAGAGCGACTGGGAAACTGATTGGGAACTTCAGACTTTTGCACAGTTCTTTGAACCTGGTGACATAGTTTTCCTTCTTCATGGGGCGTCGAGACCAAGTATCATTAGACTTTGCAGAGACCATTTCAGGATCATCACACCTGCCGTGACTCTCCGCAAAAGACGCCCCAGAGAGTCTCTGGAAGGAACATCTCGAGGATGGCATACACCGGGTGGATTCTTTGATATCTTACTGGCGTGGAGAATTCCTCTGAATAACGATACTAGGTCCCAGAAATGGCCTGAAACAGAGCTTCCTGACATGGTTCCAGCCTATCAAGAACAGTCCTTTGAGGCGGAATATAGACGAAGCAATATTACCCGAATCATGGTAGGCGTTGCCATGGAAGCATTGGCCTTAGAAAAGCCAGAAAATGAGGATATAGCGCATTTGCTCGTCTCGAGTGGTACAGATAATACAACTGCTTCGAAATTGACTAAGGCATCTGGAGAGGATATCCGATCCTCTTCTGACAAGATCTTGCAAAGCTTCTTCCAAAGTGAGCAAGACGATGTATCAATCTCTCAGGACATGGTCAAAGCAGTGGCAGAGAATTATGGACCGTGTGGCTATATAATCATGGAGCTCCTTTTCCAGCTCCAAGGATCTAGTCTTCCCATCTCTGAAGAAGTGATCGAGGCAGCAGCAGGAAACTTTGGAAAATATGGAGATCAGGTTATGAAGGCTATCTATCGCCACCGTGGAGAGTTCTTCCCAATTTCCGAAGAGGTGGTCAAGGCAGCGGCAGGAAATACTGGAAGAAAGGCAACCAAGATATTAAAGCTCCTCTTCAAAGCACAAGGGGAAGCCATTCCAATCTCAGGAGAAGTACTCAAAGCGGCAGCAGCAAACCGCTCAACCCATGGGTTTGAGATTCTGAAGATTATCGTTCACCATCGTGGCCAAAATCTCCCGGTATCTGAAGATGTGATTATAAACGCAATAGAGAATGATGAGTGGGGATACGACAATATACATTATCTCTTTGAATGCTGCGATAGGAAAGTTCCACTTTTTGAAGAACTAGTTAAGGCAGCAGCAGAAAGGGACGTGACGTTTCTGAGATTACTGCTTGAGCAAGGAGAGGAAAGCCTTCTAGTCTCCGAGGAAACGGTTAAGGCAGCAGCAGGATGTGTTACTGGGAATGAGTCCCTGAAATTACTCTTTCAATATGGAGAGAAAAGTATTCCAATCTCTGAGGAGGTGATTAAGGTAGCGGCAGGAAATGAGATGTATGAGAATAGAATCCTGGAAGTACTCTTTCAGTACGCAGAGGGAAGCCTTTCAATCTCTGAGGAAGTAGTCAAGACAGCAGCACAGAATGAGGGCAGTGGAACTGCAATTATGAAATTCCTCTTCCAACAGAAAGGAGATAAACTTCCAGTGACTGAAGAAGTGGTCAAGGCAGCAGCTGGAAATGAGGGCTGTGGACATGATATCATAGAGTTACTCTTGCAACAGAAAAAAAGAAGCGGACTTCCAGTGACCGAAGAAGTGGTCAAGGCAGCAGCTGGAAATATGCGCCGTGGATTTGTTATCATGGGGTTCCTCTTTCAACAGAAGGGAGATAAACTTCCAGTAACTGAAGAAGTGGTTAAGACAGCAGCAGGAAATCCGTGGTATGGATATCTCATTGTGGATTTAATCCTGCGAGTGAGAGGGAATAACCTTCCAGTGACCGAGGAACCACTTGAAGCCGCGGAGAATACTCGATGCAGAGCAACGATCCTGGAAATTTTGCAGCCAAAAAGAAGCCTTCAGACAACGGTCACCGAAAGCCCAGAAGTCCCAGAGATTTCGGAAAGTGCAGAGAGTTCAGACAGTCCAGAAAGTCTCGAAGATCCACCAAGTTCAGAAAGTCCCGAAAGCTCGGAAAGTTCGCTGTCATCGGATGAATTGGACGAAGAAGACTAGAGTGAGATAGTAGTATAACAATCTACAAATACTACTCATTGGAGCCTGTAGCAGCCGTTTGGGTAGAAAATCACCAGGAAGATCCTGCTTGTTTAGGAAGAGATCCGTGACCCCTTTCTAATCAATGACCAGGGATATAGAATAGACCTTGGAGACGTCCAGCATGAAAGCTCTCAAAGCTTAAAACCAATAAGGCTATGAATATCTGCATGTATAGAGGCCATTGAACCGTATAGACGATTCGCCTACTCATTTTGGGATTGCTTATACGGAGTTAGGAAGCCTTAGTACTACTAGGATAAGATGTGGTGTTATCTACTTGACTGCTCTGCATACGAGCACGAACATAGTATACATAGGAATGAAATTCACACATACAAAAGACTCAAAACACAGATGCCCCGCTGAGTGTTTTCGAATTTCGCCATTCTCCAGGGATCATGTGGATGGACTTCGGGTATAAGAGTAATAATATCTATGGAGGGACGCATATACTGCTATTGGGTTGCCAGGCCAGAGTTAACCATGTGACCGGGTCCCTTGGAGGCCAGGAATAACTCAGGTGACAGTGTAGAGCCCAGGAGGTGGTTAGGTAGTGAGCCCGTGATGGGTGAGGTGGCATTCCAGGCTCGAGCCATGACTAGTTAGGATCTATAGTCGCAGTCTAACAACCAATTGGATAATAGTGATTGGATAAGCATGTGGTATGGATGCGCTTCATTGTACAAAGATAATTTGATCAAGCTGACCTGATACAGACAGATCGAAGTGACAACATGGAGGTATTATAAAAAGAAGATCCTCGGTTCAGCTCAATAAGTCAAAGTGGCCGCAAAGGTCAACGAAAACTGAGCTTCAAAGAAAAAAAAAGATGCAGTGGATATATGCGCTTTGCGACCATCATAGGGCCATTCTAAAGTGCAGTCAAAGGCAGTCAATGTGCATGAGTTATTTCTCGTATTCCCCTCTCTTTCTTCTTATTTCAGCGGGCCTAGTGTTGCGGCTTGTTCCAGAAATCCAAGCTGGCTACCACGTCCTCGCCCGATTCATCTTCGTAGGCATACAGAATCTGGACGGTGGTTAGTGCTGCAGGTGAACATCACGTGATTCAGAGCGACTTACCTCTCGCGTGGAAGAATGCAACATGCGGATGTTCTTTCCGGTCATGATATGGACCAATTCACTCGTCTCAATGTGTCGAATCTCAATGAAGTTTGGTTCGAAAGCAAGAATGTAAGGATAAGAGAGGGCAAAAGCGTTAGGGTTGCCTTCCCATGAGATCTTCCAATCCGGGCGTGCGCGCCAACCATTGCGGTTGACAAAGAAAGAAAAGTCGCTGTAATTGAGCAGGAACTCTCCATTCATACGCTCGATATGGATCGGCTTGACGTTCTCTTTGCGTGCAACGAAGTCGAGTGAGGTGTCGGCCTGATCCAAGAGTGACTGCGTCTCGGTCGTTTCCAGACTGACAACTTCGAAACCACGTGCACAGCCAACGCAAAGTGTGGAACGGAGGAAATGTATCGAAGACGATTCGGCGGGGATGTAAAATTCCTGCCCTGAATGTTAGAAATGCCAACCACGAGGACACAGACAGAAAGTGGACGCACCTTGAAGAGCTTCAGACTATCCTGGCCACTCTGGAACATCTTGCTGACCGCAGACTTCTTCTTGCCTTTAGCCAGATTATCCATGGGTTCGTAAACCTTGATGGTCGTCGACAGAGCCGAAGTCTTAACAGAGCACACCAAATGACGGCCCAGTCCGATACCGGCCTTGAAGAAGTTCGCATGTCCCTGGATCTTCTTGGGTCGCTTTGCGACTGTATTTTGACTTTCACTAATCTCCAAAGCCTCCATTGGGTAAGACGAGAGCGTCTTATTCGACAGGACCAAGAGTAGTTGATACTCTTCCAAAGTGTCCATTTGCGTAACCTGGCTCACGTCAAGGACTCGTCTAGGTCTAGCCGATTTATCCTTAGGCCAACGCTCAGACAAGTAAATGCCGCTGTCTGTACCATACACGAGCTTTCTGCCACCGTCTGCCGAAAAGTCATTAGCCATATCATCGAAAGCTATAATAGGAGCTGAGTAATAACATACCAACTGGAACAAGGCAATTTACCCTGTTGACAGAGGTAAAGAACTTCTCGCAAAGGACAGTTTTATTGTAGAAGTTGCTGTTCCGCTCCCTAAGTTTCCTCTGTTGCTCTTCTACCATTTCGATGAATTTCCTTCTTTGCGTAGGAGAAGTGGCGTATAGAGTCTGCTCATAACCCCCCTTACCAAGATGCCTGAAAGTGATGGGCAGGCCATCTTTAGTCGTGGGCGGATTTGCAGCAGCCTTGTTAGAGAGCAGACTAGAAGAGGGCCTCTTAGCGACACCAACCCTGGGAATCACCTCGTCCATTTGAGCAATGACCAGAAGCTCGAGAGGGATGGGCTTCCGATATACTCGGTACTCCTCCCGCTTGTTCACGATCTTGATTCTCACCAGGAGAACCGCATGATCGAAAAGGTATGCAGTAACTTCAGAACTGTCAGTTGGCGTTTTCTTGAAAGCCATCTTCGTCAGCATTTGACGGTTCTCTTCCGTCAGCTTCAGATCGACATATTCGCCCGGGGGAAACTTCAAAGCTGAATTGAGCTGTACAAGGTTGAAATGATTCTCAGCCCTTCCACTCTCAGCATTGACGCGAGACAGGAAATCTTTGATGAGCTTGATGGCCTTGGGAATGTCTTGCTTGTCAGGATTATCGTCCGCCGTGTTCTTGGCAACCTGCTCCAGAAGCAAGGGGTACCTTGCCAGACGAGTGGTTGGCTTGGTCAAGTAACCGTTCAACTCCAGCTTCCGTGACTCTTTGAGACGTTCTGTTTCCTCAACGAATCTCGCAAAAGCCGGGTTTGATGCCTTTTCTTTCTCGAACTCGTACTTTCCGTAGAGCTGGTTTGCACCGTACTTAATGAATGGGTCAAAGCGTGGCACGTGCTGCAAGAAGATATCACCGACTGTCTTGACGACGTGGTTCTCCTTCTGGCGTGCGTTCAGAGCCTCACACAATCCGCCGTTGACCTTCAAGACTTCCAAGCAATTTCCGAATACCGTGCGAATGAATTTCTCCCGTCGGTGCTCAGGGATTGGCGAAAGATTAGCATTGCCTGCCGAACGCAATGGCCTCATCCAGAAGTCTCGTAGGTACTCGAGGTCCTTGACGAAGTCGCGCTCGGTGTACATGATCTCGAAAATGATCTCCTGACGTTTCTTCTCGCGGTCGTCAATGCCATCAGATATCTCTTTAGGAACCATGTTAATCCACAATTTCTGATTATCGTTATCGTCGTCATCACCGTGCAAACTGCCCTTGGAGGCAGACGAGCGGAGTCCCGGCTGCGGCTTGAGGTTCAGTCTAGCTTGCTGTTCTAACCTCCTGGGACAAGCAATCGAGTAGCATAAGCTGTCGCGAGTGCAAGTCGGCGAGTAGCATTCAGTCAATAGCGTGAACACTCCATTTACCTCCGAACTGGGCGCTTCCTCTCCCATGGTTTCTTTGAACTGGTAAAGCTCACCGGGAGCATCTCGCAGACGGTGGTCATAAGTCACATCGTGGAAGAACTTCTGCGCATCCAAAGCGCGTCCCAACAGCAGAGCCAGATTGCGATCCATAGTCTTGATGATGTAGGCGATCAGGTCGACCGCCTCCGCACCGGAGAACGCATTCTGATACGACAGTCCGTTCTTTTGCCGTTCAGCGAGCGTAATCCTCTCACGGAAGACATCGGCCACTCTCGAAAGCAGGGCTGGGTAAACTAGCGGCACCTTACTCCGACGGGAATTGCTTTGGACAAGCGTGGACGTGTTACTGGGTTTCGGAGCAATTTGGCTTTGCATGCTCATAGTACGGTCCGGAACAACAGTCGATGCCATGGACATGGTGCGGGAGTTCATGGAGCCATCGCTAGGGGGACGAGACTTTCCGTTAACATCATACGCGTTAATCACATCTGCTGGGTACGAGGAGGCTTCCGGGGGTGGACTAGGGCCGGAAGGCTGTCGCCTGGGAGGAATGACCCGTCCAGTTTGTGTTGTATGAGCGTGATCGCGGTCAGTGGAGTAAGTGGTCAATGACATGGAGCGCTCGTTCTGATTCCTCTCCGGAACCACACGTCCCTGAGGTGTCATGGGTGCGGCGCCTGCATTATAGGGCTGTTGGCGGGAATAGGTTGCAGAGGTATGGTTGAAGCCACTGGATGGTGGCTGATATATCGGTGGCCCTCCCAACCTCGCCATTGACCTTGATCTGTAAGCGTCGGAGTTCAGGGCCGGGTGGGGCACTGGTCGAGCATAACCCTTTGCATCCGGATATTGTGGCCCGTGGTTCGGTCTCGAATCAAGCCTCTGCGGCTGAGGGTAAGCAGAGCGTCCGGGATAGGGTCGTGGAGGATTCTGGGAAGGGTGCTGGGAAGTCATTGTAGCTGCGCTTCCGCCGTACGGTTGATAATAACCGTTGGGGGGGCCCGGGGGGTATCCATTCTGCATCTGGCGCGCGGGTGGTGGCGGACCCCTCTGCATTTGCGGATGGGGCACGTGTGAAGACATGGTATGGGCCCGATCTTGGGAGAACTGAGGAGTCTGGGAGGTCATCGTCTGCGAGCGTCCCGGTGCTCCGCCGAAAATCTCGGAGAATGCAGCATCACGTTGAAAAGCGGAGGGATGCCCGTAAGGCCGGTAGTTCCGGCCTTGCTGACCCCCTAAATCGGCCATAGTGTGTATGTAGCCCCCTCTTTACTCCTCGCTCTGGGGATATCTCGGTGAAAGGTGGCAAGAAGGTGAATCACACGAGGCGAGAGGAGGGTGAGGTGAAGGTGGGAGAAAGGGAGGGTATCGAATCCGGTCGTAGAGAGCGTGCAGAGCGTCGCGAGGAGATCGTTTCGAATCGTGGAGTAAGGAGAAGGAGGAGAGCGCGGGTGGGAAAAAAGAAAATGAGATACTCCACGGGGCGATAATTTATAAGCGGAATCAAGAGTAAAATAAGACAAGAATAAAATTCGAATAGGAGAAGTAAAAGCCTCTACACACAAAAGCCCCCTCGATGTATCATGCCTTTGGGAGGTCCAGTGTTGGTGCGATTTGGAAGTCTGGGGAGGGTGTCGAGACCGCGTGGTGTGTTAACGATCCAAGTGCGCTAGGAGCCTTGAGCGCAACGGCAAGCCAGGGCCCCTGCAAGTTCATAACCTCAGCATGCTCCCTCGGGCGGGATCGGTCGATCAAGACTGGGGGTGGCGTGCCTGGGGAAGAGGGAGAGAAAAGAATCTGAGGGGGTAAGGCCAGGAAAGAGGGGGGGGGGGAGGAGGAGGGGGGGGGGGGAAGGAAAGTTGTTTTTAAGGTTATAGAGGGAGAGAGAGTTGAAGGTAGAGAGTGGGGAGAGAGAGGGAGGGCAGTAGTGGATTAGTGGGAGTAAATAGGCAGGTGTCAGTTATTATGATTGCCAGGGAAGTTGGTGAAGAATGGGACCGGCGGCCGTGTAGGAGTCTAGGAGAAGGAAGAGCACGGGGGTTGTTGGGTCGAACAGGCACATGTCACTCCTAACCCGGATAGGCCACCTTCTCCTATACGGTGGCCCGGGCGGACTACTTCGGTCAACCTCTCATTCCGCCGACCTGCCAAAGCTATCGTGTTTATCCAGCTGGCTGCTTCCGACTGACGTCTGGAGACGATATTAATTCGGATTACGTCTGCTTTGGCCCAGGATTCGTCTCACCTATCCAGGCTCTTGCTTCTCCGCTTCTTTGTTCCTTTCTTTTTTCTTCTTCTTCCTCCCCCTTCCTTTGCTCTCACTCCTGATCCTCGTGCTTCTTGGGTGGATTCGGTCATCATGGCGGACAGCGAGTTCTCCCCCAAGTTCGCTCCGTTCTTTTCCTTCGTAAGTTGCTCCCTCACGGTCTTGATTGTGAAAGTTTCACGCGACATGTATCGCTTGCTAACTCACCAAAAAAACAGGCAGGTATTGCGGCAGCTGTGAGTATCAACTACACGCCACCCGTTCCGATCACCACACGCTAACCACCTCTCCAAAGATGATCTTCGGATGTATGTCGACTCGCAAAGCTGGGGGTATTGATTGATTGTTACGGGAACATACCAGCTCACTTCATCTAGCAATGGGAGCCGCATACGGAACGGCGAAGTCAGGAATTGGTATCTCCGGAGTGGGAACCTTCAGGCCGGACCTGATCATGAAGGTATGTTGGATCTATTCCAGCTTTTTGTCGCATCTTCCGCATTGTCATGATTGTACTAACTTGTGCAGTCCTTGATTCCCGTTGTCATGTCCGGTATTATCGCAGTTTACGGCCTCGTCATCTCGGTCCTCATCGCCGGTGACATGGATCCTCCCCCCAACAAGCATATGAGCCTTTACACGTATGTTTCCCGATTTCCGCCTCCACTCATATACAAAAGATCTGATGATATTGTCTTGGAAGTGGCTTCATGCACCTTGCTGCGGGGTTGTCGGTTGGCCTCGCAGGCGTGGCTGCCGGTTACACTATTGGTGTTGTTGGAGATGCGGTAAGCAGTCATTGCGAGGAGTGTCTGGATGGAAGTGCGCAGGTGCTAATATGGACACAGGGTGTTCGTGCGTACATGCAACAATCTCGTGTTTATGTCGGTATGATTCTTATCTTGATTTTTGGCGAGGTTCTTGGTCTCTATGGGTAAGTACACATCCACTGGAGCAGTCAAGATATCATACTTACACTCATAGATTGATTGTTGGCTTGATTCTCAACTCCAAAAGCTCTGGCTGAGCGGGTTCTGCATGTTGCGCTTGGTGTTCCCGGTTCTTGGCCACTCATGTCCACCATGGACGTAATTTTGTCCCCTATAGGAATACTGCTGTACAGATGAGTGCAGCCAGATTGCGATCAAGAAGCAGCAATTCTGCTTATTGTCTAGGGACCATTCAGTCGTTGGCGCTGGCACTGGTATTGATGCCTTTCGTCCGGGGAGGTCTGTTGTCTTGTACTAGTACATTGCTGGAGTGTTGAAATAGCATATACGTTACTTGAAATGTCATTATATCCCTCTCTATCTTTCTATTCTTGGATTTAGATATCCATTTTCTAGTCGAAAAAAAGATCGCAACCGCTGAGCAGCGAGGTGATGGCTGGTGACCGACAGGGGACTCGAACACGCAGGCCCGTGGCTGCCCCGCCGGCCGGTAACGTCAGAGTCTCTTCTTTCCCGTAGCGCCGCCGGCTGGATGAGAGAGCCAGACCGGCCTCATCAAAGCTCTTCCATCCCGCAAAATCCTCTTGCGAATCCCCGCGCCGTTGCTGTTCCCCTAATCAATCTCTATGTGCGATAATAACTCGCCTGCATTACTCTACCAGCTTTAAGGGACCCGGTACTCGCCCAATTGCTACCCCAGCGACTCCTTGTTTTTCTCCCCACACCTTTCCCCCTCCCCGCGGTCCTCCGCGACAGGATCCCTTGCCATTTTCTGGGTCACCAAAACCATCGATGCGCTAACGACATGCAAAGATTCTCAGTCCCAACTAGCCAGTTTAAGATGGGGTCGGAAGATATTCACGAGAGGGAAAAGGAGATAGTGGCTTCAGTCCGACCGCCTCATCAGCGTCGACTGAGTCCGTTCGTTATCGCTGGTCGTGCTGAAGAGAAACAGCTGGGGATATCGACTCGTCGGTTGAACGTCAATGACTTCGCACTGTTGAAGACACTGGGCACAGGTAAGCTTCGCTTCGTCGCTTGCGCAACCTAGCCAGTGTCTGACGGCGGCGATTCTTGTGCCCAGGCACATTCGCTCGGGTGTGGTTAGTGAAGTTGAACGACGAAAGGCAACGCAAGAACAGGGTCTACGCTCTGAAGATACTCCGAAAGGCAGATGGTATGTAGTTTGCGATGCATACTGCAGCAACAGCACCTGGCTAACCGTTTCGGTTTCGAACTTTGACAGTGATCAAGCTGAAGCAAGTCGAGCATGTCCGCAACGAACGGAAGACTCTCGCAGATGTTTCCGGCCATCCTTTCATCACGACGTTGATTGCCTCCTTCTCCGATGATCAGAATCTATATATGTTGGTATGAAGCCTAGATTCATCCGTATTCCTGTCACGCGACCAACCCTCAACCAGAGCAGTGAAACCTGTGGCATCATGGCGATGGAAGACTAATGTCGTCATAGTTGGACTATTGCCCTGGAGGCGAGATATTCAGCTACCTACGACGTGCACGACGCTTTAACGAGAATACATCCAAGTTCTACGCGGCCGAGATAGCGTTAACCATCGAGTTTCTCCATGACGTGGAGGGAGTTGTTTATCGAGACCTTAAGCCGGAGAATATCCTGCTTGATGCCGAGGGTCATATCAAGCTAGTTGACTTTGGGTTCGCAAAACAGGTTGGCGACCATGAGACCTATACTCTGTGTGGGACTCCTGAGTATCTCGCCCCCGAAGTCATTCATAACAGCGGCCACGGCCTTGCCGTAGACTGGTGGGCTCTAGGTATCCTCATATACGAGTTCCTTGTCGGACAGCCGCCATTCTGGGACCAAAACCCGATGCGCATATACGAGCAGATCGTCGAGGGTCACATACGTTATCCTCAGAACATGTCGCCTGCAGCCCAGAACATCATATCGTTGCTCTGCAAGACCAACCCGACTGAGCGGCTGGGCTACATCTCCGGGGGCTCAGCTCGAGTCAAGACGCATCCCTTTTTCGAAGACATCAACTGGGATGACCTGTTCTACCGCCGTATCAAGGGACCCATCATCCCTCGAGTCGATCATCCTGCGGACACTGGAAACTTTGAAGAATATCCAGATCCGGATGTGAAGAATCAGAGTCTTTACACTGATGATTTGAGAGACAAGTACGAGGCACTTTTTGCTGATTTTTGATCGCTTAGCCGCTTTTGAATGCTCTTATGTCAGGCCACTCTTTGTCGTCCCGGCGACGACCGCACATGCGTTCCAAGCGCAACCGCTGGTGACATCTACCATATATCCTTCACCCTACCATGACAGGCTTGAAGCCGTCTATGGTGGCAGACTTTTGCCTTGCTCGCAATACACCCCGCGAAGCCTTGCAGCGATTACGGCACTTGTCCTAGTCTTCAGCGAAGAGCTCTACGCCCGTACTCTACCATCCACTGCGTCCCGCGACGCACCACAATATTGCGCGTGATGTCTAGCTGCATGCTTCTGCCATATCCGATGTGGCTTCTCGACATGAAGCGGGCTACAGATCCCGACCGGAAACTGACACTTGCGAGTACGCTATGAAGAGAAGTCATCATGACTTCACACTCGGATCCTGCAACGAGCCTTGTTATCGATCAATACTTCAATTGTCTTTAATCTTCTAAGCATGATGTGCTTCTTACTACATTCCTTTCTCTTCTTGAGCGTTTCAGATTGGCGAGCCAGTCATTTACACCTACAGCGCGGGGATTCATCGAACATAAGCCAGCTACTCACAGCACTCTCAGGAGGAACTGCTGCTTACACCCATCCCGCCAGTTCCTCTTATCAGCGGACCAGTCAGGGATATTCTTCAGTCACGATAATGAGTAACGATGTCTGGTTTCTTGCACATGCTTTCTGTCCACCTTTAACGGGTCCCCGGGGATGCTACTAAAACTTTGGTGAAAGGGGGGGGGGGGGGGCCGGTTGATATTACTTCACTTCTGTACTTTTTGTCTGGATGACACTGCGAGACATACAATTGGATACATAGTACAAACTTGCCTACTACAACTTGAATACAACACGTTAACACCTGAACATACACCGCACCCTTCTCCACCAATTATCAGAATACTATATATTATGATCTACTTCCTCCCCGTCCCATTAACCAACCCCACCCCCCTCCCCATCCCCTCCGCCACCATAACCCCCTCCCTAACCGCCCTCCCCACCAACCCCCTAAACCCCCCTTCCTCCAACACACACAACCCACCCATCGTACACCCCCCAGGAGAAGTCCCCCTCTCCTTCAACAACGCCGGATGCTCCCCACCAAGCAACAAATCCCCCGTACCCCTCAACACCTGCGCAACCGTCACCCTCGCCTCCTCCCTCCCCAACCCCATCGCCACGCCCCCATCCACCAACGCCTCCACAAACACAGCCAGAAACGCAGGCGTCGACCCACCCAGCACCGTGAACGTGTCCATCTGATCCGGCCGCACCTGCACCGTGCGTCCTATCCTGTTGAAGATCCCCTCCGTTAGGGAAATCAGCCCCTCCGGCACACGAGTCTCTGCGTTCGCTTGCAACTCTTCAGAGGGGAGCTCAATCGCTGTGATGGACTGCGAGATGGTAGCGCAGATGTTGGGCAGTGTGCGGACAACATAGAGGTCTTGTGGGTTGGAGAGGAGGGACCGAAGGGAGGACACGGTCCAGCCGGCGGCGATGCTGATGAGGAGTTTTGGGGTGGGAGTGGGACTGCAGAGGGCGGGTCTTGTCTCTGGGTCGTTGAGGAGGGAGGGGATGTCGGTGGGATCGCAGGCGAGGATGATGGTGTTGGCGGAGGAGATGGCGATGTGGTTGTCCGTGGAGGGGAGGGTGGTTAGGGTGGTGGTGAGGTGGGAGTGAAATTGGGATTGGAGGGCGTTGAGGGAGGAGGAGCTGCGGACGGTGGCGATGAAGTGGGTTGGGAGGGGGGTGTTGGTGCTGGTTGTGTCTGTGGTGGTGGTGGGTTGGGCGGTTAGGAGGCCGTTGAGGATGGCGATGCCCATTTTTCCTGGGTTGTAGTGTTAGTAGATGGGGGTGTGTAGAGGGAGGTGGGATGTACCGCAGCCGAGGATGGCGAGGGTGTTTTCTGGTGTAGACATGTTGGATGTAGTTATTGTTTTTGGTTTCTTTGGTGGGATGGATGGATGGATGGATGTATTGCACGTAGATGGTAGTGTGATGTTCCAGAGGTATTAAGTGTCACGAGAAGGATTAAGATTGACTGTTTGAGTTGAAGGAAAAAGAAATCAAAGACATGGGAAGATTGAATGAAGGCACGACAGCACCCCTCATCTTTGCTACCCCTCATTGCATCAATTGACTCCAAAGTGTCATCGAAGTATATCATCCAGATCCACTCGGATATCGGTGGGTCGCGCACTGCAAGCTGGCGGCTATTCTAACTGCACTCCAGCGTATGGCCTAGTAAAACCTAGTTGGGTGCTCACCGGCCGATAACGGTCGAGAATATCAGCTGCAGCTCACTGGATTACAGTTGTAACTGTGCATCCTTTGGATGACCACCTTGCATCGGCTAGAGATGCCATGGTTGGGAAAAATATCCTGGGATTGCTGCTTTGCAAGGGTGATGTAGAAAGTTATGGAGGGGTAATTGATTGAATCGGAGACATGAATAGATACCATAATTGCATTCATTCATTCACGGTCATACTCCATACACATAGCTAAACAATCTACCCAAAGAAAGCCCTAACTCGCCTTCTCACCTCCGCCTTAAGCGCCAAATGCTCAGCCATAGTGCGTGAAACTGCATCCTTATTTTCCGCTGCTCTCCGCACCAAATAACCCAGACACTCTCCCATACTACCCCAAGTCAAGCACTTGTACACACCAGGAGCCACACTGTTCTGATCTTTCAACTGCAACAGCCCAAAACTAACGCCATCCGCCATCCCCAGTAGCTGTCCGAACTCCACTCGGCCAGTGGGAAGCCCCGCCTGTAAGCGAGCCTGGTGCAGCTCATGCGCCGCCACAGCACTCTCAATATTATGCGTTGCCAAAAACAAATCCGTGGTGGGAAACCTGCGTCCGGATTCTCCGAGACCCTGATAACGCTGCTGCAAGACGCCCCGCACGATGGAGTTGTATGCGATATCGGTATCTTGCTTCGTATCATGGATGAGCTGTCTCGGGTCCGATCTCATGTACGCTCCCCGCACCAGCTTCAACTCAAACGTAAATCCTTCCCTGTCTGCTATCTCCATGTGCGACGCTATCGTGATCGGCGTACTTTTGAGATAAGCCTGGTATGTGTTATACACTACTGCCTTGCCGTTTCGGTTGTACTTGCGCATCATGTCCAACGTGAGGTTGTGGATCCCTTGGAGAAAGGAGTGCTGCTCAGCGTCCATGAGGAGACGGGCGTTCTTCTCGACTACCCGTTGGCACACTTCATCCAGGGCCTCGACCATTTGCGTGGGGACGGGTTGTCCGGAGGCGAAGGCCTCTGTGACTTTGGGTCCGGCCCCAGTGAGCCTAATAATAGGGATCAGCATCCACTGATTCACTCTCAAATCGGGTAAAATAATCCCTGGAATATGGGGGATCGACTTACTTTGGGGCAAGGAAGTCACCTTCGCCAAGCATGTCCACGGTCTTCAGGTAACCCTCCCGCCAGGCGGCGATGAACTCGCATGACTCTGTGTCGGTTGCCTTTTGGGATACCTGGCTGTGAGCGAATTGGGTTTGGTTCGTGCTGGAATCCTGCACTGTCTCCCGCGCGTAGGTCAAAATAACTCCACGTAGTCCTGTACTTTTGATTTGGCGGATCTTATCCTGGACTTGGCTCTCCTTTTCCCCCGCACAGAAGTGGTCGTAGAATGTCTTCTTGAGGAACCAATGGATGAGAGGATTGCGGTCCACATCTAGCAAGACACCGCGGGGCTTGGTAAGGAATGATAGAATAGACAGACAAGGAACGAGGAGGGCTTGGTGGGAGGAGATGGTTGTCACGAGGAGAGACCGCAGCAGAGTCTTGGTGGGCAGGACAGAATGAGGTGGTGCAGAGGAGGGTCTCTCTGGAGCTTGTGTCTTAGCTACAGAGGAGGAGATGCTAGGGACTTTCTCGAAGGTGGTCCCTGTAGCACAATATCGGAGAGATGGGAGGACTAGAGTAGGCCTTGTAAGGACACTGGTTCGTGCCCGTTGGCCAACCGGTGTCCTGCACAGGAGGTTGGACATGGTATGTGAAAGTTGAAAAGATGAAAGAGATCTGGAAGATGAAAGAACTGATGGCATACCCGGAGGCATCTTTATACCTTGGATCGCAAGCTGCGGGGTGCATTTGTCCCCTCAATGATAGGGATAAGCATGTCTTGGGAACTGATAAGATGACCACTTGGAGCAGGGCGATGCCGCTCATTGGTGCCCCCTAGATCACCGGCCCTATCAGTAATATTCTTACTCATGTATCAATGCTGAATTACGCTTTCATTCGTCCCTAAATGGATCCAATTGACGTGTCTGGCGGTTCCATCGGCAAAATAATGGCTAGGCTTCGACCGTCCCTGGATCGATGCTTGTTGAGTGAGGGGTAGACTTGAATCCGGTAGCCCTACCGTGTCAATAGTGTTGGATGTGCGAGACACACGGGTGCCTTTCTCTTTCATATTGTCTAAGCGAGGTCTTAAGGGCTTCTCCTGAATGGACAAGGGGTTCTGTTCTGAGGGTTCGGGAGCTGTTCAATTTGTATATAGTTATCAAGATCCTGTCATGGCCATCTTCTTATCCCGTGCTGTGGTCAGCGCTCTGGTCACGAAGACTAACAAGAGTCAACATGGAATAAGTGCGTTTATAGAAAGGCGTGCTATATCCATTGCCATAGTATGATAAAAGATATCGTCCAAAGGACATTCGTATACTGCGGAACGAAGCCGGAGAGTACTAAGACTTGGTCCATTGACCGCCGATCACACATGGCCGACTCCTCTTACTGAGCAGTCATGTGTGACAAACGCCATAGCTTTCCCTGCTTACTGCATTTGTCTTTCTGCCACCATCCCCTAAGAATCACTGTGGGTTCTCAGTGCAATCTGCCTTCCTATTGCGGAAAAGCAGGCCTCTCCATACCTCCTTGTCTGACCCGTTGACCCATATTCTTCCTCCTTACAAAGAACAAGAAGAAAAGCAAACAGTTGAAGAGTCATGATATTTTGCTTTCCATTCTACACTAAGCCTATCCGTTAGATTGCTACGGGAGCTTCGGATCGAAGCGAACAAGGCAAAGTGGTAGCATGTCCTTGAGCCCCTCGGACGCTGCACGAAACTACCTTTCATCTTCCGCTCTACGAAGAACAAATGCTTACGCTGCTGAACTATGTCCCTGAAGCTACGACACTCGCCTGAAGATCGCTACCACCACTCCGGTGAATCAATGGAATCCTCATCCGCCATTGTTTTCGAACAGAACACGAGCCCAGGAAGTGAGCGTGACGCAGCTTCTTCCTGCTGTTCTGGGTAAGAATGGTCTAATGGCTACTTTTCAGCAACTTCTCCTCCCAATTTATTCACCCTCTCCTCTACTCTTATGTCGGATCGAAGCGAACGAGACATCCAGATTCATAGTCCACAAAGGCCTCGACTCTGTATTTCCATATCAGCTAGTAATGCCGGCTTTAAATGATTGATCTCTATCATTTTGTAATTACCATACCTGTCCGTGACTTCCAAAAGTCATCGGAGTGCAAGCATGTCCGAACATCTTGAACATAGTAGTACTCACTACACTATAGAAGATATATAAAGTATTTTATTGTCTTAATGATCCCAACGAAGCGGAGTTGAGGATAAAGACATAACTGCCTAATTGACAAGCAAAGATCTGAGATTCCACGTCTTTAACTTGATACCAGCCTTGCTCATCGCTTCCCAATCTAACATTCATCTATTGAGGGCACCGCAGAACCCATAGTAATGGGCGCCCCGATGTCTTAAAAGCCAGTATTGCTTTCGATAACCTACAAGGTCTTTCTTCCCTGCTGGCCTAAACGCGCAAGCGAAAGGGTATTTCTTGGTCCCGCAACGCGCAATTATTTAGCCCACGGCGGAGGGTATGACACTGGGCTTGATACACCACGAACCACACAATAGGTGTGACTATAGTCCAGCCCTACTATCAGAAGCTGAGTTAATATAGCTCGGGCCACATTGACTGGAACTTTCCAAGTTATGCTGGGGTCTTCTGATAGCGTAATACCACACCTTATCTTTTCGCTTGCAAGACATAAGTGACAGCCATGTGGCCCATTGATCTTGAAGTGAGCCGATAAAACAGAACATAAGCACTGCCATAGTGATATGCCTTGCCAGAACCAAATACACATAAAATCTTGGTTTTCGAGCAGAAATTGGAGTGGGCAAGTATGATAGGAATCCTCAACGTGACGTATATCGCCCCTAAATTATCTCTGACAAAACATACAGTTGAGTAGCGACCTTAACTTAGTCTATAGATGACCGAATAGAGACTGACACCTTCTTGCCACTGATATTCTTTGGTGATAGCTTCTTGGAGCCCATATGAGAAAGTAGTAAGTGGTAGTGGTTGGAGGTTACTTTTATTAAGGGTAAATATAAGTGTCCAAGATACGCGAAGAGAACCCCCAAAGAAACGTGATTAGTCAAAGGAACATAATTCATTTCGAATTGCAGAATTAACGAGTCCCTACTCACCGAAGCGTACACCACTCCGCAGTACGCTTGTGGGTGGACAACCGCTCTCTCAAGGGGTATCGTCAGAAATATGGCAGGATGAAGTGAGACATATTGGATCTGAAATATAACCAGCACAATTTTTGTCCGCCTGGCTTGATACAGCATGCAGTGCACTGACACTGCACGCCTGAGCTTATTTTCGACTCATACCAAGGTAGTAAGTTTACCGTTCAGTTTGTCCATGTTGAACATACACGTATCTAAGATCTTTGGACTCAGCCTTCATTGCCTAGCAGATCCATCAGATCCATGCTTTATAATAAACTTGTCTTTCCATCGCTGTATAGTTTGACAACTTTAATTTCAGCTCAGCCAATCCTGACTTGGGCGTTAGTGAACTAGTTCACTTGGATGTATATTTCCAGCCTTAGCCTGGTAGTTGCATGCTAACTACTATATATAACCCTAGTATGACACGCCACATTTTTGGGCACATGGACAGGCGGTGAGGCCATTCCCGTTTTGGATGGCTCCATTTTCGAGGAACTTCAGGATCGAAGTCATTCGATACACATCCACAGCTTTGATGATTCTCTATAAATAGCCCACTGAAGTATGCCTGGGCTGTACACTTTCAGGGTGAGGTTTGGCAATGCGAATCGTTATCTCCTTTCACAATGCCAAGCGCTTGCTACTTGGCTTCTCCGCCGGAACCACAGGTGCCTATCCCCTGACGGGCGCGAAAGTTGCCAAACGCCATGCTTGTTCTTATCCAGAAAGTATGTGCCGATCAATACACGCCTCTACGGTCAAAAAATTTTCCATAAGTGTCGCGTGGCCGTCATGAGCCACGTCATGCAACGAATTGGTTGCCGGGAAGTTCCAGATGTCGGCCTTGAAGCACAGAATTTAGTTTAGTGGCCACCGAGATATCCGAACGGAACCAGGAGATAACGAATGGGATCCACTCAAAGCCCCATCGCGCACACGAATCAGCAGAATCTGACGAGGTCAACAACGTCCCCCAAGTCGACAGTTCGGGGCTGGCGAATCGCCGATGCGATACGTCGATCAGAGTACGGCATCTCGATTCTCTTCAGTTTTCTGAATGGAAGGCATTCGCGGAATATCACGGAGGATTGGTCGCGTGTGGATTTTATTAACCCCAGTCTAGTATCCAGTTAGTTACTATACTAGCAGCGTTCGGTTCTTGTCCGTGGATCGCTGTCCCACAATCCCGGCAACCCCTGGGTGGGAGGCGTGGCCTGGAGAACAGGCGCCATGACCAGAAGACGCGTACGCAAGCTTCAGAGTCCGCTGTAAACAAATCCGTTCGTCAAGCCGTTATTGGACGTGTGTTCCCCTCCTAAGAAAAACCCCGGCCTGTCTTTTAGCATGGCTGGCGTCCTCCAAATACATTTGAGGCGACTCAACCTCATATTTTCCTTCCGGCAATGTCGCTGGAGCTGAACTCCTGCCGCCTGTCACATCTTGTGTCGGGTTAACGATGATTCCTCCCCTTGTTTGGGCGTGCATTGCCGCCTTCGCTCGGACAGCCCGCGGAGATTATGTATCCACCAACTACCAAGAGTACAATGACGGAGCGCTAGGACACCGTCCTCACTTGGAGTTTCACTCCAGCTCCGAATATGCACCCCTTCTACAGGTCAACATATGGGACCAGAGTGCCATCTCTGAGAAAGGATCCCATATATTCATCAAACATGATGGTAACGACTCCTCGCCACTCTCATCGCCGCTCATCTTGGATGCCAACGACTTGAGTGCCGTCTACATGAACCGGACCTTTAAGAATGTGTTCGGTACCCGTGTGCAAGACAATTTCGGCAAGAAGTATTTGACTTTTTGGGAAGGTGAGAAAGGCGATGGTATAGGTGACGGCTATGGGCTCGCCTACGACGACACCTACCGCTTGGTCTATAAAATATGGGCACGAAACATCAAAGTTCACAGCGACCTCCACGAATTTGCATTTACTGGGAACGGAACGGCTTTGGTCACAGGCGTCAACGCCATCAACGCCCATTCATCAGATTTCTTAGACAAAGGCTGGATAACGCCCCCCAGATTCGAGGTCCTGGATTCCATTTTCCAAGAGATCGACCTTGAGACTAATGAGGTGCTGTTCGACTGGCGGGCTCTTGATCACATTAACCCCATGGACTCCTACGAGCCTATGGGCAGAGGTTGGGATGCGTATCACATGAACAGCATTCAGAAGGTAAGAGCAGGACATGTAACCCGACGACCTGTAAACACCTCTGACATTCCATGGTCTAGACCAAAGCAGGTAACTATCTTATCTCCATCCGCCACCTGCACGCCGTCTACCTCATCGACGGAAAAACGGGCGACATCATATGGACCATGGGCGGCAAACGCAACGATTTCAAAGAGCTGCCCCGTGCCAAAGAAGCCGAGTCAGCCGCACCCCTGCTGTCAATGCAGTGGCAGCATCATGCTCGCTTTGTCGAGGGAACCGACGAAACCCAAATGACCTTATTTGACAACCATGTCAAGATCACCTCTCACGGCGTCTGCGACACCGATTGCTCGCGCGGCTTGCACATCGCTATCAACGACACTGCTTCACCCCCGACCGTCCAACTCCTACGCGAATTCCATCACCCATCCCACCTTCAAGCTCAGAGCCAAGGCAGCATGCAGCCCCTTTCGCCCTCTGCTGATGATCTGGGCAACGTATTTATTGGCTGGGGCCGGTGTCCCACGTTTACAGAGCACAACTCATCGGGTGAGACAGTCATGGACGTGCAGTTTTCGCCGTGGCACAGTGACAACATCCCCGATGCGCTAGACAACTACCGCGCCTATAAGATGGACTGGTCAGCTACACCCTGGTGGGACCCTGCCATCGCACCACGGAAAAATGAGAACGGCGAATTGGTCATGTACGTTAGCTGGAACGGAGCGACCGAGGTGGCAAACTGGGTTATCCGGGGAGCAGCCAGCGACGATGTCGACGAAGAGGGCGAAATAATAGCCGCATCACGCCGGACAGGCTTTGAAACCAAGTTGACAGTTGGCGAGACCGATTGGCGCTACATCTGGGCCGAAGCCTTGGACAATCAGGGAAATGTCCTTCGATGGTCTGAAGTCGTGGACCTTGACACAGCGGAACTATCAGTTGCTCATGACGCCTACGATGAGCCCGATTCCACCTTCATCCCTTCGGAGGAGACCCCCTCTGGATTGTCGATAAATACAGTGGTATTCTTGGCGAGCGGGTTGACCGTTGTTGTGCTGGTGACGATTGGAGCGGGAGTTATGTGGTGGCGCAGGCGCAAGGTGTATAATAGCCTGGAAGCAGAGGACTTTGATCTTGCTTCGGATGACGGCTTTGATGAGCATGATGACTATGACGAGGAGGCCGGTGATAAGGATGCTGATGTTGATCATCACTCCAGAGATGAGGACCGCCGCGCTCTGATTCCCAAGACAGAGCAGAGGAACATGAGTAGCGTGTAGGCTATCACCTACTTTATATTGTAAATAGATTCATAATCGACCTTCTACTTGTATTTCGAGAAACGTCTTGCTCCTCCACTACAGTGGTTAAGTAATGTACCCCCGGTGTCCACCAAGGCCTACCAAGGAAACTCATAACCACAATAAGATAAACCGTGGCCCCCAATGGCAAATCATAATAACGATTAGGTTTCGGCTCCGCACCACCCCGCCTCTATAAAGTCTGTTACGTCGACATGTTTACTAAATGTAGTAACATCGGCAGCTCGTGCATGTCGGCTTCTACGGAGGAGAATATCACGTAACTACATTTCCGTGGATGAAGCAATAGCCGAGCACCCCATGGGGCTGGCTTTGTATAGTGTCTGGGCGGAGGAGAGCAGGGCGGGGTAAGGTGAGACGACCCGAATAGCAGCCCCTATTGTTTGTATCTTCAGATTGCCGGGATAGTGTTTGTGGTAGTAGTAGTTAGTGCATATCGATGGTTTTTTGTGGTATGCTGTATCTCATTCTAGAAGCACAGAGTACTGCTAGTCATTGTTACGGAAGAGACAATACCGAAGAGAACCCCAATGCTGGAGCAGATGGTAAGGTCTCACAATCTGTCAATATTGATAATGATTGTATTAGTAGTATCACGTACTTGATACTCTTATATTTCGCAAGAAGATATCCAGCATAGATAGTAGACAAGATGTAAGTTGAGATAAGGTGAAGCACGCAATCCCGCGCCTCTCTACGTGATTTGGACCCTGGAAGGCCGGAGAAAGATTAAGGCAACGAGGCGGGGACTCAATGGCAGCCGCGCGCCATTCCCAAGAGGGAAGGGGCCTCTTATCTCCCGCTAACCCCCGCATTTTGGCTGTCTCCTCCGTGGCCACCGTTGATAAGCTCCTCTTCCTTGGGATTGTCTGCCTTTCTGTTCCCAAATTACCCCTCGCTGCAACCACTCACGATCCTCTCCTGCCATCTCACTAGCTGCACCCTGCTCTTAACTAACATCTCCTTCAATCAATCAGAATGAACGTCCGGAGTCGAACTGGCTGTTTGGCTTGCAAGAGTAAGTCTATCCGCTCGATCAACCGGCCGCCTGCATGGCCACGCTGCCCAATGTCCTCGTGCTGATAAGGTATCTCAGAGCGCAAGCGTCGCTGCGGAGGTAAGATCTACGACCTGCTACAATTTGTACCTATTGCTCTTAGTGCCACGGAGCGTCTGAGCTGACCAATCGCCAAATCAGAGGAGAAACCCGCCTGCAGAAACTGTGTCGTGCGCGGATTCGAGTGCCCGTACCTATCGGAGAACGCACAACAGATTAATTTAAGGTTTAAGATTTCTCTTGGTAGGTAGTCTAGCAACTGACGCTTGAACGGTACCCTAACTGCCTGTAGCAAATGGCTACCGGCTTCCTCTGAAGAAGCAGAATCGGAGGCACTTCATCTCCGTTTCGGCCGAGGATGTCGCCTTGCTATCGTCTGAGCATAACCAAGAAATTGTACCCGCAGAGAAAGATGACACACGCACTAAGAACCTAAATGGCCACGCACTTAATCCGGTCAGACTGGAAGGATCGGTCTTTGCATCCCCTCTCGTCGATTGCAGTGGGCTCGAGCACCAACTTTTCCAGTATTGTGCGTGCTCCCAAAGATAACCGGCATATCCATGGCTAATTTATACACAGATCTGCAGGTGATCAGCAGGGTGAGAGTCTTCCGTGATGATTCAAGAAACAAGTTTCGATCTCTTGTCGTCCCATTCTGCTGCGGACGGAGACCGTTGCTCTACGCGGTTCTGTCCGTCAGCGCCAATGACCGTCGCGCCGAAACAGTGCCGACACACATAAACTACGAACAGCTAGCGCTTTCGTACAAGTCCCTCGCTTTGAAGTCCCTTCGAAAATCTCTGTCGGATGTTAGTAATGCAAGCGAGGCCCTCATGACCTGTCTCATCCTGTGCACCCTGGAGATTGCCTCAGGCTGCCAACCGGATTGGGTGCGTCATGCTAAAGGCGCCTTTGCCATCATAAACAGCTGCTCGAGCATGATAGATCCCGAGATTTTGTTTTTCGCCCGGAGCTATTTCCAGTCTCGTACTGTCTTCTTCCGCACCACGGGCTGCCATGACGATCTATATGACAAGGATGCAGAGCGTCTGCTAGAGCCACAGACTGGAATCGACCACGGCATGGACTTTTTCTCACAGTGCACAACCCTTGGAATCAATTATGCTGACGAGCGGACGGAGATCCAGCCCCATTTTGGCTGCTCCCTCAGCTTGCTCGACATCATCGCCCGGGCAACAGACTTGGTCAGCCAGAAACAGAAGCTTCGTCGCAATGGCTGCAATTCATTCTTCTCCGAAGGAGAAATGATGCAGCGGGCCATGTCACTGCGGAGCGAGCTGGACTTGTTGCCTAAAGAGCACTCCCCAGACAGCGAGTATCTGACAACCTGCGGAGAGTGCTTCCGCATGGCTGCCGACCTATACTTGCAACTGGCCTGCGATATCCCCTTGACCCAGCCAGCCCTCCAGGCACTGTTGGGCAAACTACTGGATCACATAGGCAAGGTCATTCGCGAGGACCAGGAGCGGCAGCTCTTCCCAATGTGGCCAATATTCCTGGCGGGCTGTCTGTCCACCACCGACGGGGACCGGGAGCGCGTTCTCAATTACTTCACCTATCTCGCTCATGCATGGCCAGTCAGCAACATCCCTATCGTGCGTGAAGCCACAGAGACAGTTTGGAAGTTCCGAGACCTGAACCCTCATGAGTGTGGAAGCGGATTCGATTGGCAAATGATTATTAGCCGGATGAACTGGAAGTTGGCACTGTCGTAGCTGTGATTCTTTCAAGCCTACCATTTAACGATATATGAAGATAACCAAACGAAGTTACATGACACTCATAGCAATAAGAAATCTCATTTAAAACCACAAAAAAAGCAATCTACAGCTTTGGAGCCGGAGCCAGTCTAACCTCCTCAAACTCCCTCGTCTCCCCCAACCGCCAGCTAACATCTCCCTCCCACTTCCCCTCCTTCTTCTTACCACCCTTCCACCTCCACCTCCCAACCCCCTGCTTCCTCTCCTTCAACAACGTAAACACCCAATCTCCCACAATCGGCAACATCTTAAACAAATGCCCCGAATCCCCCGAACAGAGAACAACCGAGCCCTCCGTCTCCGGGACAAAATCAATGATAAACTCCGAATCACTGGTATCCGCAAACCAACACAACTTCTTCTCCACAAACGGCCGATCCGCAAACTGCGGCAACGACTCCCTCAACAACCTCCTCATCCTCTTCTCATCCTCCGCCGGCAACACCCCCTCACTCTCCTGCAGTGTCTTCGGCGGGATCGATACCCCCGACGCGGGATCCGTGTTAATGTACCCACCGCCCATCGGGCAGATCTTGAGCAGATTGGTCTTCGGATCCGGCTCGAAGTAGAATCCTAGATCGCGGGCATAGGTCACCGGAATGCCGCGGAGCATGGACGTCTCTTCATCAGTCAGTTTGACATGACCCAGGGACCACGACTTCGCGACGACTTGGCCCCCTGCTTCAGGAACGAGGGTAGATGCCGCGGCACCGATGGCGACGACGGCGAGTTTGCAGGGGTAGGTTTGGCCATTGGCTGTGCGGACGCCGGTCACTTGTTTCTTGTTCGTGGGGGATGAGTAGATCAGCGAGGTCACGCGGCCAATGTCTTCCCCTAGGAAGAACTTCACGCCCCGGGCTGCGGCGGCTTCGTAGACGGCGCGGAGAGCGTTGGCTGAGTGCGCGTATCCGGCTAGTTGGTTGAAGTAGCCGTTCCAGCCTGGGAGGGGACCGGTGAGTTGCCAGGCGATGTTGCGGATGTCGGCTGGGGTGGAGATGGTGGTTAGTTTGCCTTTGTAGGTGGGGTGGTTGCGGATTGAGGCCAGGAAGCGGTTCATTGTCTGCGAGGCTTTTTCGGGGGCGGCGCCGGAGACGAGGTGCAGGAAGCCCGTTTGGTGGTAGTGCGGGGCGTAGAGGGGGGTTTTCCAGCCTTCGATGGCTTGCTGTTGAGAGAGGGGTGTTAGGTGTGTGGGTGGTGGAGTAGAGAATGGAATTGGATAGGGAAGGGGGCAGGACGTACGAGTGTCAGTTCAGTGTACCATGGGTCCTCATATTCTGCGCGCACGATCTTGTTGATGTCGTGGCCGGCGGAATAGCGGGCTGGGACTTGGTTGTCTCTTTCGAAGACGGAGACGTTGGTGAAGCCGTTGCTGGAGAGGTGGAGGGCTGTGGTGAGGCCGAAGACACCGGCGCCGATGATGGCGATGGGATCGGACTTGGATGTTGATACCATTGTGATGGTATACGGGGGCACAATTGGGGTGTAAGAGGGGGAGTGAGAGAGAGTCAGCTCAAGTGATGATCACTGAGTGGGAGCATGAGAGGTTGATTCGTCCTGATGAGCTGCAATGGGGTTATATACTAGTAGTAACATGGCATAGGAATCACTTGGCAATTCAAATGAATCATACCATGTACATGTACAGGTAGCATGCTGTGAGCATGAACAGGTCGGCAGTTATTCCTCCCCCGTGTCCCCCCGCTGTACCTCCACCAGAATTGGAGTGCACATACCAGCAACGCGCAGCCATACTAAAACGTGCAGCTTATCAGAGTGGCTCGAGCGTCTGGTGCATCTGGAATTGTGGGTTAGCGCAAGCGATACATACCGAATACACTATCTTACTGTTCATGTGGGGATTGTCATCTTGGAGAAGAACGGGGGCGTTGGAGGCGTTAGCGTGAACGATGATCGCCGGTTAGTGTATGCGAGGGTCTGGAGATAGGCGGTGACGCTAGTAGATAGCTGTATCGGCTGGATAATGGGAATCTGGCCTCCAGAGATAATCAGTCGGTGGGTCTTGCATGAGGGGATACATGGCGATAGCCGATAGGATGTGCGGGGGCTTCGTTGCAGCTGGAACAGTCAATAATAGTTTTTGTCTTGAGAATGGACTTGGAGGGATTGACACATCCTGGCATTGAGACATGTTTTAGATAACGGTGAGAGTAGAAGGAACAGATCGCCTTCGCGCAGGAGAATGCGTTGGTAGGAGATTTGCTGAAATTATGATCATGGACGAGCTCGAGGCTGGTATGTCATTGAAGTGGAGGTGAAGGTGAAAATGTAGAGTGAACGAGCTGTCTCGAAGTAGACGGTCACCTGATTCAACAGGGCAGTCTATGCTGATGCTACACTTGGAACTAGGTAGTGCTAAGATGCTATCTACTCATGAGGAAAACAGTATAAGGTGAATCGTTATCATTGCGAATTCTATTTTTACACACACTCCAACCTCCGATGTCATGTCTCATGGCGCCTATATAATATTCAAACCATTACTCGTTGCTGGGGTACCGGAAGCCGTTCAAGGGGAAGAATTCCTCCTTGATAGTTCTAGGGCTGGCGAATCTCATGAGGACATTGGCACTGCCAGCCTTGTCGTTGGTTCCACTAGAGCGACTGCCACCGAATGACTGTTGTCCGATCAGGGCAGCAGTAGTCTTGCAGTCTGTTGCGTAATTCGTTAGTAGTGAGATCTAGAGGATAATAGCATGATCACTTACTGATGTAGAAGTTTCCAGCAGAGTACCGCAACGTATCCTCAGCCTCGCGAATGGCACGCCGATCGCCTGCGAATACAGCTCCAGTCAGAGCAAAACCACCGCCACTCTGGTCGACTGTCTTCAGAACCGATGACCACTCGGCATCAGGGTAGACATAGACTGTGAGCACTGGACCGAAGATTTCCTTGTCGAACAGCTCATGGTTGGGATCCTTGGCCCGGTACACAGTAGGGTGCACGTAGTATCCCTTCGAGCCGTCGTAGGTACCTCCCGCAATCAACTCCAAGGATGGATCCTTGTTGCTGGCATCGATGACCGACTTAATCTTTTCGAAAGATGCTTTGTGGATGACAGGGCCCATGAAAGCTCCCATGTCCTCGGGTGAACCGATCGTGATCTCATTGATCTCGGACTTCAACTTCTCCAAGAACTCCTGTGCCCGAGACTCAGGCAGGTACAGTCGGGACGTGGCCGAGCACTTTTGTCCCTGGTACTCAAAAGCACCACGAAGAGTATGGTAAACAGCACTCTGAATATCGGCAGTGGGATGGACCAAGTGGAAGTTCTTGCCACTGGTCTCGCCAACCAGACGAGGGTAGTCCCGATAGACCTTCTTGCCAATGTTTTCGCCGACCTGAGCGTACAGAGAACGGAAGACGTCCGACGAACCGGTAAAGTTGAGACCACCAAATTCCCTGCGTCCGAGCACTGTCTGTGTAATCTCTTGCGCATCACCAGTAACGAACTGGATAACATTGGGAGGCAGACCAGCTTCCAGGAGGATCTTGTAAACGAGCTCACTCGCGTACACGTTCGAATCGGAAGGCTTCCAAACGACGACATTGCCCATAAGAGCTGGGCCGCTAATTAAATTTCCGCCAATAGCAGTAAAGTTGAAAGGCGACACGGCGTAAACGAATCCTTCCAAGGGTCTGTAGTCCACACGGCTAGAGAGCAGTTAGTACTTGAAAGTCCCAAGGTTCAAAGCTTCACGCTTACGTCCACATTCCCTCAGTGCCGCGGTCGGGCTGCTTCTCCAGCAGCTCAGCAGCGTAGTTGCAGTTCAGACGGAAGAAGTCGGCCAACTCTGCAGCTGCATCAATCTCACCCTGCCAGATGTTCTTGCCTTGTCCCAGCATCGTAGCAGCGATGAGTTCGTATCGGTACTTGCCGGCGACGAGCTCGGCGGCCTTGAGGAAAATGGCAGCTCGATCGACAAAAGGAGTGTTCTGCCACGCTTCTTTTGCTTCCAATGCTGCATCAATTGCCGCATTGACTTGTGCAGCATTTACGCTAGGGTAGTTGGTAAAGGTAGTGGCATGTTCGGCGGGCAGAGGCTGTTGCAATGTGTTGGAGATCGAGAGCGCTTTGCCTCCGACGTATGCCTGACTCTTGAGCGGCAGTTGTGACTTCATCTGCTTTAGCACTTTTTCGACCTCTGCCCTTTCGGGAGAACCCCTGGTGTAGTCCAGCTATCATGGAAAGAATTAGTATATGCGTGCTATGGGAGTGGGTAGGAAGCCAGCAACTCACGTTGGGCTCATTTCTAGCAGCTGGCAGACGGAAAGGAACGGTCGCAACACCACGAGCTCGAAGAACTGGAGCTCTAGCGGCACGGCGACCTAGGGAGCGCACGCTGGGTGAGGGTTGAGACAAAGGTAGTTTGAAGGCCATTGTGATAGTGTCTGGTAACAGAGGCCGTAGAGGAAAAACTGAGCATAGACCTGGAAGAGACGAACATGGTGAACATCAATCTTATGTATGATGCTGGCCATGGTGCTTGAGGAGTCAACTGCTTGGCAGACCGATGTTCGGCGTTGTTGCAGCTGGAAGTGAGGAGAGTGAGGAGTAAGATCCACCGATTTGGAGTCCATCCAGCTGGCGGGTAAACTAGCCCGGCACTTGGACCTTCCCGGCTAAGTATAGTGGCGGGTACACTAGCCTTCCGCTGGAGATCCCCCTAATGCGGCATGAAACCGTTCCTTTGGTCTACCTCTTGTTAACGCCATCTTACTTCAATTCCGCATGGCAGCCACATCTTGGTTTGCCTATCGCGTTTAGATAAGCTAGGGGTTGTCTATCTTATCCACGCAACATTACCGATAGGCTTTCTCACCGGTTAGAGCGAAAAGAGTCACGCTCATGTGAGGGGTGCCCGACTGCCCCTCCTTTCGTACACAGCATGCCTGGTGAAGAGCATTGTCGGGCTATAGGCCGGTCAGGTCGACATGTTGCTTGTCATAGCTCCAGCTTACAAGCATGGTAAATTTTGAGCGCAACAGCCCTAGACCCTTAGGCTTTTCGATGCATCTCCACGAGGTATGAAAGCTCCTCAAAATTCAGCACAAAACTGGGCATCCCTTGGCATGAAGCCAATTGGAGACTGAAACCCCTGCTGTTGAGCCGATTGTATCTATTTAATCGAATATCTCTCTTCCAGGGTGTATTTGAGTGTCTGGAACTTCGGAATGTCGCCTGAACGTGTCACCACGGAGCCATTGCACTCTCGTGGCTGGGATAATGACTGGCTCAGGCAGTTAGCCGGCGATATAGTCGCAGGATCACTGTCTGCAACGATTATCGCCCCGATCACAACGGTTATCGACCGGTATATATCTTGAAGACGAACTGAAAAATCCATGTGCTGATATGTCGATTTCAGGAGCGTCGTGGAGAGGCTGTCCTCAAATAGATCCATCCTGCATACACTTCGCACACATGCCATTTGCTCCATCCTCCAACCAAAAAAGTTTTACTTCTCCCGACCTTTCTTCATCGCTTGGTCTCTTTACGCCGCAACCTACGCTACCGCAAATGCCACCGACACAAGCCTGGACCAGCTTTCCAGAATAAGAGAGAAATCAACAAGTGCGAGTCTCGTCGCAACGTTCAGCTTCCTCCCAACATACGCCGTCAATGTGTCTCTGGGAATCCTGAAGGATATCAGGTTCTCTCAGATTTACGGACACCCAGACGGTCGTCTCAAGCAGCCACCTCCCATCCCAAGACTCGCGTACATGGCATTTCTTTTCCGCGACAGCATCACTATATCCAGCTCGTTCACGCTGGCTCCGCAGGTGGCCTCATTAGTTCCAGATTGGATCACTGCAGACCCGCATACCAAGAGAACTGTGACCCAGCTCGCTCTCCCCGCCTTGGTGCAATATGTGAATACGCCGTTCCATATGATCGCGTTAGATGTTATTGCTCGTCCACATGTGGCCACGATAGCAGAAAGATCCGTTACGATACGGAGAGGCTATATGCAATCATCGTCGCTGAGGGCAGCAAGGGTTCTACCGGCATTCGGGGTGGGGTGTATAATCAATACGGATTTGAGGGCGTCTCTGCACAGAAGATGGATGGTTAGATAGGGCAAATACCAGTGCGGGGCACAGCAAACAAGAATAACTTATCTCTCCACTTGATTGTCATGTCTATCAATTTTGCGGGCACGTATCAGGATCGCGGCAGTCGCCGGACGGTTCCTAAGTATTTGGGCCCGTTACGAGGATCAGCAAAGCGAGTAGCCGAGTGCAAAAGAAGATGCCAGATACGGCTGCACTAACCCTTGGCTCCCGGGAGGGGTAACTCGTAGCGCGCAGGTATGGATGTTATTGCTTTTGTGTATGGTAAGGACGGGTATCGGCTGTTGGCTCGATGCAGCAACCCGCTATCTCCCCAGCGCATATACTAACCTCACCTGCAAGGTTTCACTAGGGCTGTGAATAGCTTAATCTCCATCCCTTGGCCACGCTTCTGTGCACTCCTGCTCCACATCTGCAGTTGAGCGATCCGCTCACAACAGGCGAGGGAAGAGATAAGTGCCCAGGCGCTATCGAAGCAATACTGATTAGCCAACGATTACTCGACCCGAACTATCATATCTCATTGACATGTTTTCCCCAGACGCTAATCAACTATGCTTATCCCCGCATCGCTGAGCCTTTCCCGTTCCGACACTCCATCCAATCAGGCTATGGATCGGCCATATCTATCCATGAGCTTCCGCTGTGGAAAAGAACAGCCACCGGAATTCACTATCAGCACCCAGCAGGTATCCTTTGAGGGTCAGAAGGCCCAAATACACGTATAGGAAATACGTCATGCTAGTGGAGATAAACCGATGCCTCGCAAATGATCCTTGTGCATTGGTTGACTGCAACCGTCAGGTCGACATGATCATGGATGCCTCAGGCAGACGGCATATTGGCCTCTCACTGGGTCAATAGCATGGCCAGGTGCAAGCCAACTTGGCTCAAATAGGCCAGATGTTCTCGAGTCTCACCTGCAAATCTCACCACTTCTTGTGCTGAGTCTACTGTCCTCACTTCCTCTTAACACTTTCATCTAGGATATCCATCTATTAGTCCTACCACTTGGTCATCTTGGGAAGAATGAGTGCTTCGATAGGACCCAGAGACCTGGCAGAGATTCATGACACTCCTGCATATGACTACGGACAGGATGTGGAGAAGAAGCAGCTGGATGATACATCCCCTGAAGAGGAAGATCCATTTGGAAATGAAGAGTTCGCAGAAGTGAAATATCGGACGATGGGTTGGTGGTAAGTTCTATATCCCTGCCCCTAGACTACGCCTTGGCCCTGTATCTGACCCTTCTTCGCAACATGCAGGAAAACAGGGATACGTGAGCCTCAACCTTAATGCACTCACCGAAAAGACATAGACTCCTAACTCTTATCGTCTACAGTCATGGTCGCAGAGAATGTTTCTATTGGAATTCTATCCCTTCCATCCGCCTTTGCAACGCTGGGATTTGTCCCGTAAGTGACTTGCTACAATGCTAGACTAAAGCTAAGCCTAGCCTAGGGCCCTAATCATACTGATTGGAATCTCCGCTATATCATGGTATACGGCCTACATTCTTTGTCAGTTCAAGTTACGATACCCCCAGGTCCATAGCATGGGAGATGCGGGTGAAATTATAATGGGGCGATTCGGACGGGAACTGCTTGGAATCGGCCAGCTACTATTCCTTATATTCGTCATGGCCAGTCACGTCTTGACCTTCACGGTTCTCATGAATACGATTACCGAGCATGGTACCTGCACAATCGTGTTTGGTGTTATTGCACTGGTTGTCAGTTGCGTTGGTGCCTTACCACGTACCATGGACAAGGTATATTGGATGTCGATTGCATGTAAGCATATTATAGGGTTTCCCACCTTTCACACTTCAGTTTAACTATGATGCTAATTCAGTTTCTGTATAGCATTTCTCAGCATTGTGGCAGCAACTATGGCCACTATGATAGCGGTCGGCGTAGAGTACAAAGGCCACATCCCTCTTGCTGCGACTACCCATCTCAGTTTCAACGAAGAATTTCTGGCAGTCAGCAATTTGTTCTTTGCTTATGGTAAAGCCCCGGCTAATTGCAATTTGTAAGCAATATAACTAACTTCACGATAATCAACAGTCGGTCATGCGTCATTCTTCGGATTTATCTCAGAGATGGACAAACCTCGAGAGTTCACCAAGTCCATATCGGTACTTCAAGTCATTGATACCTCGCTATACATAGCTAGTGCAGTGGTTATATACCGCTACGTAGGTGCGGACGTTCAATCCCCTGCATTAGGCTCTGCGGGGCCCCTAGGAAAGAAAATCGCCTACGGGCTGGCTATTCCGACTGTATGTTAACTACCGTATCTTTTGGAACGGCTACTGATTCATGTCCTCAGGTCCTTATTGCGGGAATTGTCAATGGCCATGTAGCCAGCAAGTACGTGTACGTGCGTGTTTTCCGCGGCACAAACCACATGCATGAACGGACATTGCTCTCCATCGGTTCATGGGTCGCTATTGGATTGATTTCCTGGGTAGTTGCCTGGGTCATCGCAGAGTCAATCCCAGTCTTCAACAACCTTTTGAGTCTAATTGTACGTGGCCGTCTCCTGCTACAGAAAGTGCATGCTAACCTCGATGATAGACTGCACTTTTTGGTTGTTGGTTCGCTTGTGAGTTTTAAATAATCTAAGATGCTACGGATCATACTAACCACATCTTATAGACGGATTCCCTGCTATCTTCTGGTTCACCTTGAACAAGGGCCAGTGGTTCGCATCAACCAAGAAAATATTTCTTACCGTGTCCAACACGTTCATTTTGGCCATGGCAATTACCCTTGTACGTATCCCCTATTCTTAAGAGGATCCTGTCGCTGATGTCTTTTACAGTGCGGTCTCGGATTATACGTATCGGGCGATGCGATCAGCAAGGATAGTGGCAGTGGTGTCTGGACGTGTGCTAACAATGCTATTTGAATGACCTATTCTCAATGACATCTGAGCATCTTTCATGTTACTCTGGGTCGTTCAGCGATATACTTGTTGTGCTTGCCACTTCTGCAAATTTGTCCGCATTACCGTGGTTGCTTGAGAAGTATGGCTCGGCTGTACCACTTACAGAAAGAGTCATGGTTGCTGCCGCCGCAGCCGGCCTTGGCGGGCTACAGTGGCTCCTCCGTGAATGGCCTGGCAATATAGACCTTAACTGCATTTGGAGAGCGATCTGGAAGCTTAATCGAAACTCATTTTGTGGTCGTAATTGGGACCCTTTGGCATACATTCAGAGCAAAGCTGGTGACCATATTGTTCAGTATTCTAAAGCAGTCGATCTCTCGGAGGATGTCTTTATGGATGCCCTGGCCTCATCTGCTTTTGATGAAAATGAAAATGAGTACAGTGGCTTGGTTCCTTTGATTCGTATATGTCTCAAAGAGAGGCTACCTGTTTCCGAACCAGATCGATTGGTAAAGGCAGTGATGGATAATTGCGATGCTGATCTTATCAAGGTTATCCGTGAGCTTGTCCAGGAGTTTGAGTTGAGAGCCGAGCTCATTGAAGGGGGGCTTGGGAAATTGTTGTTATCGCGCATTAGAGAGAATTATGGCATATCGGCGCCTGAGCAGTAATGCAGTCTAGGATATGTTCATATTTCGAATGTTATTGTTGTCGTTCTGCTATAAACGTCAGTACCTGTTGGGCTCTATTGGTTGAGTCCTCAATATATATATAGTTTTCGATAACTAAAGTACCGCAAGGGGACAAAACTAGGCTTAATAGGGACCCAATGGCCGCTGACACTTAAACACAGATCTACACACATTACCCAACAGAAAGCTCATACTTCCACACATCCCGCTATCTATATTACACACACACACCGATGCATATGCTGATAGATCCGCGCAGATCTACCTTATGCCCCTGAAAACAATAGAAATCTCTGGTTTAGCGCAGGTAATGCCTTTGGACCTAGAGCATGCAGCAATATTTTCATCAACAGCCCGCATAGAATGAGTGCCCTTCATATATACACAACTACTTCGAAGCCAAAGGGCCTGGACATTTCTCCACTATCTAATCCAGATTCTCCGTCACTGTGAATATAGAAATGATACTTCTCGAGCTTATATGTCTGTAATCTACGGCCATACCCTCCCCAAAGTGTCCACAATATCCTTCGGACATGTCCACGGAGGCGTGTACGAGCGGGAAAATCGTACCAAACACGGATTATATCCTCTTCAGAGGGGGTATGCAATGGGCATGAGATAAATATGCCTAACCCTCAAATTTTATCGAATCAGGCCGATCATCGTTTCCGCTCTTAATATGTGCTGGGGCGCATATGAGACTCGGGGTTAGACACCGCCAGGAAAATTGTTTACTTGATATGTTTCGCTCCTTGGGTCCGCAACGATCTCTCAGCATGACGAAGTTAGGGTTTCATGCGTAACTATCTTCTTTCTGGGAACGAGGTCTTCGGTATGTTGGTATTGATATTGGTTGTGCATTCAATCTCATCAAATCATGACTAACGAGGGGGCGGAATCGGACTAAACCCCGGGCTACGGAGTACTTGCTGACTAGCTACTTACAACTGTACTCCGAATCCGAGATTAGAGCCTCTCCTTTCTTGGTAAGGGAAACAGTAAGACACAAGTGGTGGTTTTTCGGTTAGTAAACGGGTATTTATACCTCTAAAGCAAGAAGCTCTCATCTACCATTTCATCGTCCCTGCATACACAATTCTACGTCTCCGAAAATGGCCTACACTTGCACCCTAGCTGTCACTACACAGTGTAGTACGGGTAAGCTCCCCCAACTTGTGTTTTCTACACTGACCCGTCTCTAATGATACACTGCTACATTAGATCATTTTAGATGTGATTGGAGCAAGGCCGACCCTGTCAAGGGCTTTGATGGCCAGAGACACGAGTCTCTCAACATCGTGCTTTATCCTAAGAACACCTTTACCCAGACCGAAGGCATCAACGGTGTTGCGTCAGCAGTGTGCTATGACGATGAACGGAATGATGGCAAGGAGCTCAACACTCCACAGATCCTGGCACCAGAAATTACCAGCTTCATCATCGAGGTTATCAAGAAATGCAAGAAAGGCGTTGATGATAAGTTCCCGGTCATCATGAACTTTATTTTATCTCGGGAAGACGGCTATCTCGCGCGGTCTGATTTCTTACAGCAACGCCTAAAAGGGGTGAAGCGTGTTTCCTGGGTAGTAGGATTCTTGCGTCCACTACAGAAAGTCACAACCCCACGAGTCCAGTTAAATGGAACGGCGCATGATCTGAACATGCTCCTATCGATGTCCGTAGGTGCCATCCTACTTGACACTAGCTCTAGCTCTAGTCTTCACGACACGCTGGATAGTATCGAAGAGGCATTATGCAACCGGATCTCATACCCATGGGTAGTCCCCACACTGATTCACCGGAAACGCCTTGCGTGGGTGGAAGGTCGCAAAGACGCGGATGCCAGTCGACGCATGTACGAGGCGGCAGCAGCCTTAGGGATCACTCTAGTGATCATTGACAAGCCGGGTCACTGGCTGCAGAATGACCACGGGCCGTACGCCCATCTCCGAGAGGGATTCATTGCCACAAATATCGACGTGGATGAGGGGTTCGTGGATAGAATTGTCATGGCGGTCCGCAGCTACGACAAGCTCATTGATGGCATAATGACAGTGAGCGATAGTCGCTTAATCGGAGTGGCTCGAGCGTGTGAAATCCTTGGATATCCTACCTCCCCATCGTCGGCCTATGTGCTGGCCGGAGATAAGTATCAAACTCGAATGATGGAGCCAGACACGCACGGGGCTTTCCGGGTCTTTGGGACGGATGAACTGGAGAAAGTTCTTCGGTCTACCGAGGTGACGTATCCTCTCATCGTCAAGCCTTGCCTGGGATGGGGAAGTCAGGCTGTCACCAAAGTGTCCACGGAAGTTGAGTTATTTGAGGCGGTCGAGAAAGCTTGCGAGTGTCACGCATTAGCTCCGCAGCAGCGGAGTGATGCCGTTATTGAGCCATACATCGATGGTCCAGAAGTCGATGCCAACTTCGTTTTGCTGAATGGCGAAGTGATCTTCTGCGAGGTCAGTGATGACTTCCCGAGCCCAGGCGATAGGGACGCTGCACAAAGCCATAACTTTGTTGAGACTATGGTTCATATGCCCTCTGCCCTTCCACCGCATGAGTTGGAGGCTGTCCGGGATACATTGCATCAGAGTATCCTTCGTCAGGGATTCTCAACTGGTACATTTCATTGCGAAGCGCGGTTGCAGTATTCGAGTCATGAGTTTCGACAAAATGACAACGGGTTGGAGGACTTGTATCCCCGCAGAGATAGTGATTCAAATAATGGAAGGAATGTTCGCGTGTACCTCCTCGAGATCAACGCTCGCCCAGCTGGATATCTGGAGACTGTTGGTGTCAACTTGGTCTATGGGGTGGATTATTTCGCCCAGCAAATGCTCTTTTCCGTCAATGATGAGCTTCGATTCAAGGCCCTATGCCACCCATTTTCTGATGAGCCGCGCTCCAACCTCTCGATACTCGTGCTTCAAGAGGACGTTGCTGGGATCATGAAAACCGAAGATGCTACAGCGGAGCTCCTGCGCCAGTACCCCGAACTGGAGCCACATGTGCCGCTGTACGCGACAATCAAGAAGAAGGGAGATAGACTGGTTGGGCCAAAGTCGAGTGAGGTTCATTTCATTGCGTGGATGTTGGTCACAGCTCAGAAGAGGCGCGAGTGTCTGCGGTTGGTGGAGCAAATACGAAGGAGTTTTCGCTATGAAGTTGAATAGCATCTTCTAGCCTATAGTGACGGTTCCTATTACTTGGTCCAGCGAAAAATAAGTCATTTCTGAACCTCCTAGTCAGGCTTAAGATATAAGCCCTCGCAGTATCTATCTCGTGTTGCTGTTCTCCATTTGAGCGAAGATTTCGCGTAGCATGCTGCCAGTGTCCTGAGTGTAATGGGGAGAGATTGAGAACGAATCACAAGCATATGCGGAGGACTACAGGGACTGTCATTGCGGCTGCAGTTTCGGTCTAGATCTTAATGCATGTCCCCCTCGTCTTACACGTTTGCCTCACCTTCTCCTTCAAATTTCTTCTTCCTCTAACCTATATTCCTTGTATCTTCCATAATATTTCCAACTGTACGCTCAGGCCTGACCACTACTATGTCTCAACAGATGACATCCCCGCTCAAGACCTACTTCGACGAGCTTGAGGAAACCAACGGTGATGATGAATGCAGGGAGTGGCTGAACAAACTCTCCGACGTTCGAGCCGAACTAGCAACATTGGTCGCTACGCGCCGGGAAGGAGGGGGAATTGGAACATATATTGAGATCCTCAAGGCTCCTTCAACTTCAGCTTCCGCTACACTTTCAACGATGGGCGACCGGATACCATCATCCGATTCCCCAAGCCGGGACACACTGCTACAGCGTACAGGGATGAGAAGGTCATGAATGAAGTCCACGTCATGGAATACCTCCGTCAACACACCGAATCCCCCTCCCCCGTATTCACAGCTGGGGCTTAACCGCCGATAGTCCACATAACCTTGGACCATTCATCATCGTGGACTATGTCACCGGAACCCTTCTATCAACCATCTTGAAACAGCCAGATGAAGAAGACTTGTATCTAAATCCGAACATCGACAACACACTCCTAGACAAAATCTACTTTCAAATCGCCCGCTACCTACTCCAAATTTCCCACCTCACATTCCCCAAAATCGGAGCTATCTCGAAGAACAACACATCCAACACATGGCACGTCCCCAACCGCCCCCTAACATACAGCATGAACGAGCTAGTTACTGTCTCCGGCTACCCTGCTGATAAATGGCCAACTACGCCCCTTTGACCGCGCCAGCGATTACCTTGAATCTCTTGCGAACGAGCATTTGACCTATCTTTGGACTCAGCGGAACCTAGCCGATGATCCAGACATCGCTCAAAACAGGTCCATTGCCCGCCATCGCTTCAAACAACTCATCTCCAAGTACTATTCTACAGAAAACGAACCGTTCATCCTCTTCTGCGACGACATGCGACCTTCGAATATGCTCATAGACCCCAGAATGGAACAATTCTTGCGTGCTCTAGCAAGGGTGGAGCGCGAGATTGAGTACAACCAGCCCGGTCATCTGTCTCTTTCTGCCAGGATGCGCGGTTCTTGGAGTACCGGTCGGTTGTGGTTCGATTATGCGGCGAGGAAGAGCTTTGATGTTGACATTGTTTATTGGGCCACTCTCCATTCCGCTGGTACTGGTATTGAAGAGCTTGACGAGAAGGCACGTGCGGAGCTGGAGCCACTCAAGAGGATGAAGATGGAGCAGCTGAAGGCGTACAAGGAAGAGTGCTCTGCTCGGTTTTCTTCGGATATATAACGGACAATAGGTGTTGTTTTCTATTTTGGTAGTCGTTATTTTGTTTTCTCATCCTGCTCCCTGGTAGCTACATCATTATAACAAGTGTGCGTGATCGACCGTGACACTAGTATTTATCAAGGTAACGGGATAAGGGGTCGTATTCAATTCTTACTCTATCGATTCTCTTGAAGAGAGATTAGGAGAAAGAGCAAGACTGTAGATGAAAGCCGTGTAGCCAGGCACTAGGGATACAAAGACATTCTAAATTAGGTGGAGGATATGTCCAAGGTGATCATGATGCATCGCTGTTCTCATTCGTGTTCCCAGCCTGCGGGTATCAAATTCTAAAGATTTTGGAGCAAGACACTAAAAAAAAATATAACACAGGTATATGAACACAGAGAAGAAAAAGACGAAGCCATTGGCAAGCATAGTATCGATCGAGCTAAAGCTCGGACGTGCTTGACATCAGAGGAGGCTAAGCTAAGAGCCGTTACTCAACAGCACAAGCAACAGCTTAGTCGGTAGGAAAGCCAGCATTTCGTATACATGACATGGCTAGCTTGGGTAAGCAAGGGCATTAGGTTTAGGTCGAGGACGGAAACTGGTGGGTGATGCTGCGAGGTTGCCGAACGGGCGGTCATGGGAGCTTCTTGCTCGTGTCAACCGGCAATGTGCAAGCATCGGTTGATATGCCACTGATGGTATGTGGCCATATCCATTGTGTAATGACACGTGTTGTATAGGTAGAGCCATTCAGTGTCCTACTGGCGGAGCCAGCTGGATTGATGAGTCGGAGTGTAGATTGGTGTAAAGCGATTCTTGGTGACAGCTTATAGAGACGGGTCATCCTTCCAAGTTCCTGGTTGACATGTCAGTTTCAAGTCAAGCAATAGGAAAACATGTGGCATACCTTCAAAGTGATGTTTCACGAATGCCATCGGATCATCGACATCCCCAGCACCCATTTGGTGCACTCCCGGGCTGAAGCTGGTGATGGGCAAAACCACCACGTCTCCCACCTTCTTATACCCCTCTTGACCCGTAAAGTCCTCGTACGTGATGTTCAACGTCGAGCCGGGTTCAATGTTGAAGTAGTCTGGATCGTTGAAATACCGGAAAACGGCATCCGTCCAAGCTCCCGGCCCAGTATACTCCATGACAGTCTTATCCATCTTGCCAGTCTTTAGAATACCCGCCTTCTTCATCCGCAACGTCTCCTCCGTAATGTAGGAGACAATATCGCGCATGATGGGGTGTCCGGGCTTGGCTTGAATGGTCCATTGGCAGAACTGGATTCTGCGCGCATACCAGTCATGCCAGTCGGGGCGGTCAGGATCCGCCTCAATGCCCACCACCGCTCCAACTGTAGCCAGATCCAACTCTGCTGGCAGCCAGTCAGACGCTGGCTTCAACGCCGTCGTATCAATATCGCTGTAAATTCCACCCCGCGCGAGCAGGATCAAGTATCGGAAAAAGTCGGCCTTCAAGACGGGCAACGGCATAGCATCGTAGGCCTCGAACACATCCGGAACGGCACCGTATAGGTATTTGATCAGATGGCGTTGGGTATCATCGGGGACGACCTCGTGGACAAATCCGGGATGCAGCTCAGACCAGCTGGACTCGGGATCACGAAGGCTTTCGCTGAAGAACATGGAGGAGGGCGCATATTTCCATGTCTGCCAGATGAATGCAGGAAACTTGGCTTCCAGATCGTAGGGAAAGTGGTAGCGCAAGCGCTCGCGCAAGGGGGCGCTCGGTGGCGGGGTCAGCGGCAGCTGTTGTACGGTGTCCTTCGTTCCACCTTTTCGATCATTGTCTGCATGGCCGTCGTAATCCTGATTGTATAGGTGTCCGGCGGAGGCGGTCTCTGGGGACGGGAGGGAAGAGGCGGGATGCGACGATCGGAGGTAGACGATAAAGGTAATCAGAAGTGCTGCCGCGAGTAGCGACTTCCGAAAGGTGAGCATCGCTATGGAGATATGAGAAGATCGCTAATTAGGGTGGATAGTCACACAGGCGCAATGAGCTGGCAGACAGCTGAGTTATGTAGAACCGCAGCCGGTCTTCTCCGCAACTCCGCCGACGATCAAAGCAGATCAACGCCAGGCAACGATAAACGCAAGATCGATATGTATATCGTGTCAAAAGCCGTTTCGCCAGAAATAGTGTCAGCAATTTCGCATAGCTAGCTGTTCTGTGCGATCGTGCCACTGCAAGGTTTTAGGGGTGTTTCGTAAGAAAAGCGTCAAGACTCCGGGGCCGCGCGGTCGCTGTGGTCGGGGATCGGTAGGCGCCGTAAACAAAAGAACCGCAATTGATTGGTAGGGATAGCACAGCTGTCTTGCCGATTGAAGGAATTGCTAGGAGGCTAGAAGCACATCAAGGGCAAGAGCAGCAGAGCAGACAGAGGCCAGCTGGTGCTGGAAGAGGAGGAGGAGTGAGGAGCCGGCGAAGAAAAAGGTTGGTTGAGCTTAAGGCTAAGCAGCAGCAGTGGAGCCGAGTGACGACGGCGAAAGAGTAAGTCGTTTGGTGGCGTCAGAAACGGCGGGCACTTCGGGCTGATAAGCATTCGACCATTCCACTCTTTGCCGTCTAGAATGTGGTCGTTATTCCACAGCGTGCAGGAGAATATTTCCTGACACTAAGTACACCACCAGAAGAAGAATACAATTTAATTCTCTTTTGTGATCAAATTAAAAACCAGGGGTTGTAGTTCTGCATTATAAGTTCCGACCCAGTCATCAAACGCGTCGCTAAAAATTGCTGGATGGCATACGACGTTGGCATCCACACACCCTCGTTCGTCTGCATCCGCAACAGGAGATGATCGTCTAAGCCTTGTCAGATTGATTGAATGCTTACTCGTCTGCAGTGCTTGGTTCGCAATTCTCTTGGCACGATGGTTTGTCTCAACATGCGATGCGGGATGATGGTTGTGTTGCCGATTAACTTCGCATCCGAGGTGGTATCGCCTTCGTTTTCCCCACAAATCGGGTTGGTGGTGGTTGGCCGTTTGCAGCCAAATGTCGCTGTGATCACAACGATTTTAGAAACTGTGCCAGGTCCACTACGCGGTCTAGATCTTTGCGCAGTCAGCAGTCCCTGCTGCAATAAGGTTACCTTTATCTTCAGGCGACCCTTTTTTGGGTGAAAGGGTTCATGTTTTCGCATCCATCTCTACTACGAATCGTGTCCCCATTCACATCGGAGTTAAGCTGAGGGGCACACGAAGAAGAGGTGGTTTACGTAGCCTGAAGGGTGGACACTGCGTCAGCCTGGTGAAGCCGCGTCATACGCTGGGCCGGCTGCTGCACCCCCGACTTCTTGGCTCCGGCGCTTAGTAGATGAATTTGTAGGGAGTGTTGGAATGACTATTCTGCGTGATAGTGACAGGTGAAAGCCACCTACATTGCTTGACCTGCATGGCTCGTCCATTTACAGGGCGCGGACCAGGGCCAAGCAACAACCACTGCAGCTGTTATTGGCTCGATATCTCCACCACCACCAGCCACTGGCCATGTCAAGTTGACATTGTCAACTTAACAGCATATTACACACTTATCACAATATTTGATCTGCAGTCACGCTATACTCTTTCTGTCATGTTGACAATTTCCATCTATTCCACAGCAAAACACACACACACACACACACACACACACGCACACACACACATCTTCCACTCTTCAGGTCTAACTTGTCCTGTGGTACTTCGGAGTTGCTGGATGCTCCTGGTTGTGTTGGGGAAAGTCCAGATTCCCCTTTCTTCTCTACAGTCACGTGCAACACGTGGAACCTCCCCAGGCGTTGAATGGCTCTTTGCGGTCTCCCAGGCCCGCTACATACCAGATAGGGATAAGCGCATCTCCGGACCTTGGATGGGTTCCTGACACCTTGAGCAACAATCCCCACGTTGTATGTTACAGTGCCTGAACCGCGTCGTGAACTCTCCCGCAGATGAAACCTTACAACAAGGTTTCTCAGCCAAGGAACACGGAAACGAGCTGTGGTTGTAGGTGGCTTGGATGAATCCAAGGTACTGATCGCTATCAATAGAAGTATCACGAGCTAGATGTACACTCAAAGACTCAACTAGAATGCATACATCCGCTCACTATTGTCAAGCACACGATGCGGCTGTACTATTCTTCCCTGCTCTGCTACACCAGAATAGAAGAATGTTGACCTAGCCGCTGAGGTAAGCAGGGGATCGAGCGGATCTGGATCTCTCAGAATGGCGAACAGGAATCTGACATTTCCGACGCTGTTGGCAGTGGCTGATCGTCCCGTCCACTCACATCTTAGGAATGGTCAGACAGGTCAAGTCTCGCTCGGCCGGTTTCACCATGACTTGCGTGCTTGACTCCAAACTTTCCTCACCATCGTTCCTATCATCTGTTTGCCATGACCCGTTATCACTGACCTCAAAACCTCTACCTATTTTCCACCAATGGCCCACCTCATTGGCCCAGCTACTCTCTACGGTTCTCCCCTCCACCTAACCCACCAAACACAGTAAGGTAGTAAATGCCACCCTCCAGACCCAAAACAATCCCTGGTTCGCGTGCGCGGATGGCAACATCCCAGCAAGTACATTCTCACCCAGGTGGATACCATGAAAGGCCTCCCATCACTGCTGAACAGCAGCACCACCATCAAAAAATGGACACAATCCACCCCATCCACAGATACTGCTGAGGATGAGGGCCAGAGTGGTAGTACTATATCACCCACCAAGCCGCCCTCAGCGGACATTTCCTCAGGCGGCTCAAAAAACCCCATGATCTGGACGCGAAGGAAGATAACATGGCTCATCACCCTGATAGCTCTAAGCGTAGCCATAATCGTGGTGGTGATAACCGTCCCAGTAGTTCTCCTGGTGGACGATGCGCACAACGACGATCCCAGCTACTACAACAGCGCCAATCGTCCAGTCCGCGTCGTGCAAGATTTCCCCGACCCGGGACTAATCCAGGTGAACAGCACGTGGTATGCGTACGCTACAGTCGCTACACCAGATAACCCTGATGTTCCTCACGTCCCAGTATCGACATCACGGAACTTCAGCAGCTGGGACTGGCTGCAGGGATACGATGTCATGCCGGCAATGAGCAGCTGGGAAACGAATATGAATCAGTACGCTCCGGATGTGATCCAACGCGTGAGTAACCCCACATACTACTCCCACAAACCCCAACTGAATATATCGTATAGAAAGACGGCCGCTTCGTCCTCTACTACTCCGGCGAACTCAAAGACTGGCTCCGCCACCACTGCGTCGGCGCCGCCGTCTCCAACAGCACAAGTCCCCTAGGACCCTACATCCCGCACAACAGCACCCTCGCCTGTCCCCGCGACCACGGCGGCGCCATCGACCCCGCCCCATTTAAAGACGTCAACGGGACCCTCTACGTCGTCTACAAAGTCGACGGCAACAGTGTCGGCCACGGCGGAGACTGCAACAACGGCAAGAAACCCATCGTCTCGACACCCATCATGCTGCAACAACTCAACGACGACGGCGTCACTCCCGTCGGTGATCCCGTCGAAATTCTAACTAATGAGAAAGTCGATGGACCGTTAGTCGAAGCTCCGGATATTATCCGCACTGATCGGGGCATCTACTATCTGTTCTTCTCCTCGCATTGCTATACCTCGTCAAAGTATAGTGTTAAGTATGCGTGGTCGACGTCGTTGAAGGGACCGTATACGAGGGCTGAAAGGCCTTTGTTCCGAACTGGGGACTTTGGTTTGAAGTCGCCTGGAGGTGCGACGGCTTCGATTGATGGGAGTAAGATTGTTTTTCATGCGTTTTGTGGGGATTATCGGTGTATGTTTGCCGCGGCGATGAATATTACGGCGAATTATACCATTTTGCCGGCGGCGCTTTGAGGTGGCTGTATTATAGACTTGATAGATTTGGTGATGAAGCTGTTGTGTGTAACGAGAGTTTAGATGTACATAATTGAATAAAAGTTATAGACCTTATTACAAGCGCAAGAGACCTCCATAGTATGTAAAAACAATATAAGTCCAATGAAAAGGCCAGATTTCTCTATCAACAGCCCACACACACATCCCCCCCTCCGACCAAAACAGAAAAAGCCGAAGCAGCAGACAGCCCTCAGATTAGCTCTCAGGTTCTCACCGGTTTCCAGGCAGATATAATAGTAATGACTTATGCAAGGATGCACTCGTCAATTGCCGGATACCATGCAAATTTGGCTTTTGATTTCATATGAATTCGTCACTGGGCTGTCTGTTACTTGTATTCCATTTTTCCCTTATTTGATCCATCTCTTGTCCATATCATTGAGTTCAATATCCTATCCTGTATGTTCTGTGTCATTAGCTGTATGGCATGCATGCACATTAACATGTTCAATGTGATATAATGTAAGTATCCATATCATTAAATGGATAGTAACAACAACCTCACTGCGTCTCATGGGCTTGCTTGTAGTTAGTAGTAGACATTATATAACTGAGATAAAGTATGAGCAATCTCAGTGTTTGATTTGATATCAAAATAGGGGTAACAGAAAAAAAAAAGGAAAGGATAAGACACAGCCATCAGATTGAAAACTACCGTTGAAATTATCACTCCTCATTGACCACATGCTTCGACATCGTTATCTTCATGAGAGAAACAGATGGAGCAGTAATGTGTGTAAGGATCTCGGAGTAAAGTGCTAGATTTCTTTTGTCATCATTGGCGCGGTGGCATCATGGGATAGAAGCAAGAGGGGATAGTGTGGCAGGTTTTTGCAAACGTATCAGAAAAGTTGTTAGTGCTTGTTATAAGAGGAATGATAGCAATAGAAGAGGTGAAAGTGGCCAGTATAATATAAAAAAAATTGAGTGAGCAAAGCAAAGCAAGGCAAGGCTCAAGGCTATCCCCGAACATTAGAGGATAATTCCCTGCCAACAATATAGAAGGTGAAAAGGGCATGTTGAAAAAGATGCCATTCAAACAATAATGCAGCTTGGTAATCTCTTAGATCTCTGTTCAATCTCAATCATCCACCACTTGGGTCAGATGTCTTCTTCCATTCGGTCTCCCGAAGGATGAAGTCCACTGCCTGATATGAATCATTAAAGGGTGTCATGAGAAAGCTCTTTGTGTGTGATTTATCGTCATTGAGATTAGAAAAGCCGCTATCCATA